GCAAGTGCCGTTAGTGAGCACTTCATTAAAGCCAGAAATGTGAGCAACCACCCCGAAACCTCCGCCAAGCTTGGCTGCCTCAACTCCCCCGCACCAGAAATCTCCAGCCGCGTCATTTAAAACACACCGAGCGCAGTCTGCTCCAGCCATGGGTGAAGAATCAAGCGTGGCCAACCGCCTCTATACAAGCACACCGCGAGCGCGCCACCACAACCATCGCCAGCACTGCTACTTATACCACCACAACCACCACAATTGTTAACAAAGACAAAGGTCCCCCTCCTCGTATAGCCTTAACAGACTGTTGAGGCAAGTGCTGTTAGCGAGTAGCACTTATAATGCCTGGCATAGCTCACGATAGGGTGGGTGGCCAGCGCCATGCCGAACCGCTTTTGTCTCCCCAGTGGCGATGTTTACACTGCGCACGAGGTATTTATTTGAGGCTGAGTCGACCTAGGGGAGGCCCTGGACCAGTTCAGATATTCGTCACTGGTGTTGGCCGTGAGTGGGAATCGAACTCGGGCCGCCGGGTTAGTAGCACCAACCGCTACACTTCCTTTCCCCACACTGATGTTACCACACTGATGTTACCACCGCAACCATCACCAACATCGTCACGATTGTCACCACCAGCACTGCCACAACCACATCACCACCACACCGATAATTACCACCCTTACCGCTGCACCTCCAACAACATCGCCAACATTACCGCTACGATCATGGCCCTCGCAAATGACACTTGTTCCGCTGATGAAATCACCCCGTTACATACGCCTTGCCTTCACAGGCCGTCTTGCTACCAGGGGCGCCGCTGTGGCAATATGTGATTTCCCTAGGTTGGTAGGACGCAGGAGGTCATGGGTTCGATCCCGACCTTGACGCCTCTTCATTTTAAGTTTGCGTGTTCTCTCTCCCCCGCGGGGTCGTGTGGTTTGTTCTCCGGGCCCTCCGGTTTTACCCTTCACATTTAGAAGCTCGCATTTCGATTATTTGGCTGCGACTATAAATTCCCACGTATGGTATAAGCCACTTCAATGAGTTATCATGTGTGGCCACGTCACCTCTGATAGAGAGCTCATAGCTCGGCGCGCTTTACCTGTTAAATATAGTTTAGTTTTAGTTTAGTACTACATATGCCTGGCGTACTGCCATGATTGGTCTCCCTTGTTTTGTATAAACGAGACAAAAATCCAGCCCGTGCTTTGACAACACTGTGGCAGGGCGCGCATTCAACACCAGCACTGCAGAGGACTTAATTCAGGATCCCGCTTGTCAAAAAGCCATCCCACTCCAGTTTGGCCACAGCCTCCACCGGTTTGGACTTGGGTGAGTGCTAGATGCTAACAAATAACCTTGAGGCTAGTGTTGCGGTTTATAGAGAGACTCGTTCAGACAGGGAAACCTGCATCGCTGAACTGCTGGATTATTTAAGTAGAGTTTTTATGTTTTTATTTGTTTTCGAAAAAGTAGCGATCTGATGTGTTTGCGGGTTATACCTCATTGTTGTTCGTAATTTGCGTCACTGGCAAAAATGGCCTCCACTGCAGGGGGCTGTAAAGAGCCCCTCTGATAAAGCTGAGCAAAGCAGAACACACATTCTACTGTGAAAACACAACACGGAAAACACTATTAATAAAAAAAATCAGGAATACATTTTAATCGGGACAATCTTAAGATTGTCAAGCTTAAACACCATCCTGCGCGCTTACAATATATTTAAACTTGGGTAGTTCACCAGAACAAAAGACAAATTCATATTCTTGGTTCTTTCGGTAAAGTCACGTTGAAGGGAAACAAAAAAATAATAAAATAAATATAAAACAATAAAATTCTCACGACGTTTCGACTGTAACACAGTCATCATCAGGTGTGAAAACCAACGGCTTTACCGTTGACTTTACCGAAAGAACCAAGAATATGAACCACTGCAGTCACGAAAGCTTTCAATCAAAAAGACAAATTATCTCATATTGCACATTTTATTTGCTTCACTTTGTATAAACGGCGCACGTGTGTCTCGCGAACTGATGCGCTTTAAGAGTAAATATCGCGTTGAGTGTCAGCCCAAGTTTAAGCCTTCAGCAGCTATTGTCGAACAATCCCAGAAAGCGATTGACGTCGATAGACGATTTCTTCACGACAAACGAAACGTGCGGATCTTGTAGACAGAGCTGCAGTGAACACAAAAGGCCATTAAAATTTTGACGGATTAACGACCTATCTGCTTGTGTTTTCAATAACTGCCGTAACAAGTACTCGGGCCCAAGTGGTTCACTGATCAGAATGCCACGGGATTTTACTGCTTGCAGCGATACCAATTCAGCCATCGTTTTAAATACGTAATAACCACTAAATTCGTATTTTCAATGGGTGGGGCAGAGGTGCCTACTTAATTGGCGGTGCTCTGCCTATAGAATTGGGTATATCGTGACCCCGAGAGTGAAGGAAAAACAACAACAAAAAAACTGCAGAACGCGGTTAACCCCATTTATTTTCGACACAGGGGCCAAACCCACGATTGTCGCTCACAGCGTTCATAATCGCCTTTGTGGTGGCAGGCCACTTACATAGCTGTCCTCGCGTCATCTTCACGCCGGGCGGTGGCGGCTGGCGGCGTTAGCAGTGTCAATATTTGTTTTCAGAAAGTTCTCCAGAGCGATGGGTCCTCCCGACCCCCCCTCCCCTCCTCCTCCTTCTTCTTCTATATCCTTCGTCTTGTCGTTACACAAGGAGCGCGAGCCGCGGAGGAGAGCTTGTGTGTCCTTGAGGCGGACAGGCTTACAGGAGCATGACACGGCCAAATCCTTTTAGTCCCGGGCGTTAGTAGAAGAAGAAGAAGAAGGAGGAGGAGGAGAAAAAAAATCCCATGCAGTCCCCGTTTGGCGTGACCCCCACCGAAGACACAAAGGGATGCGGGGGCGTTTTCTCGGCGAATCTGACTAATTGTGCGTCAGTGGCAGGTCCCACGGCCCGGCTGCTGAATGCATCTTGTTGCGAGCGCAATGTGGAGTCGGGGCAGGCTAATCCTTTAAATGCTCCTCGGCTCCCCCTGAGAGGGGTATTCTTTAGCAGGGCTACGGGTGAGACTGACACCGACCTCATTATCTTCTCCCCCATTGCCCTCCGTGTTGTCCTGGCCTCGTTTGCTAATTGATTTGATAATTTGCTTGCAGTGGCGGACGGGGACATGGTGCGGGGGGGGGGTGTCGTGTGGGCGTGAGGGGAGCGCGTAGGTGGGAGGGTTGGGATGTCGGGGTGGGGGGGTGGCTCGGGAACGTCTCGCGGAGTACGGGAGTAGTAAAAAAAAGAACCCTAAACTATTGCAGAGGGCAAGGGGGGATGGCCATTGAGCATTGACCATGCCGAGCTGTTGCGGTTCGGGATCGGAATTCCACGCTCGGCTAAAGGGGAGCGATTGTGACGGTAAAACAAAAATGGGGGTGTCTTTTGTTCACGGCTCCTGTGAATGTGTGGTCCGGCCCACACATGAGCTGTTCGCAAGCGGAGCTGGAGGGGGGTGGAGCTGTTTGGCTTGTGGCTAATTACTTACCAGATGGATGGGGTTTTCAGCGCAGGAGGGTGTTTACTTCCTGTGTGTTTTCCTTTGCCTTTCAGGCCTCTTTGTCACTCAGATCATTGTGGATTTTCTGAATGGGAGTTACCACTGGGAACGGGCTGAAAGGGAGCGGCTAATTCCCGAAGAAGGCGAGATTACGAAGTCGCCTCCTCTCCGACACCTCGTGCTTGCCGAATTGGCCACACGCGAACCGCCGAGCGGCCGCTCATTATTCGACAGCTCCCTCTCATCGGCCTAATCGCTTCCGATGGTCTCGGAGATTCCGCGCTTGAGCCGTGCAGGTTGAGCGAGGGCGTCGACGGCGACGACGACAATGCTGGCGGATTTGGACGCCCGCGAAATGTCCCCGCGCGGTTGGTGACGATGGCCCCCGCGCTCGCGCGGAGAGGTGGAACGTCCGTCGGAGGTGGCGACGTCCTCCTTCCGAGCCGTCGTCCGGCGGACGGGCGGGCGGGCGGGCAGGCGGGCGGCCGACGGGATGAAAGAACGACGCCCATTGCCACGCCGTGGAAGCTTTGGCAGTTGGCACCACCGCAAATTGTGTTGGTGCTTTAATGCGATCGAGCCAAACAACGACGAGCCCCAAAGTGCGTGAGCGCGCATGCGAATGCGCGCTCATGAATATGATTAGGCAAAACAAAATCAGAAGCGCACCGTGCAATGTTGAATGTGCAGCCAATGCGGGAATAATTAATGGATTAATTAAGCAACGCGCGCATATTCTCACGCTCATCGGATTTTTTGTTTGTTTTATCGGGCGTATCGAAAGGGTCGATGAGCTGATTAAAAATTGCTATTCAGACTGTTGTTGAAATTATCCCATCACCTGCTTAAGAGATCGCTCTGTCGCCAACGGCGAGCGGATATCGACCCCGCCGCACGCGTGTCGCGATCGCGGACGCGCTGCTGCTCAAAAGAAAAACTTCGAAAATTAAGTCCGGGCTGCAGAAATCACAGCCACTGACATTTATAAGGAAACATTGATTTTTTTATGACTGCTCTTCAGCCAAGCAGCACAGCTTCAAACATCACATCTCACGGCCCCTGTGTCAAATGCATTGATCGTCATAGCTGGTGGGGGTGGGGGGGAGGGGGGGTTCTGATTAGGATTAGAACTTGAAGTTGTTTAATTGAATTTCTCCGCCTCAGCAGGTTCTGGCCCGGACTAAGTGGGAAGTGTGCAAGGCACCTTAACGGGAGATGACGAGGTCTCTGCAGATGTGCTTTCCCCCAATTTGCTCTGAGCAGCTGGGCACTTGGTGACCTTTGACAGAAGCGGCGCGCCACACTTGTCGTGTGCAATACGCGTCACGCGCGGCACTGCCCCCACCACGAGTACCCTGCAGTAGTACATTAACCTTTCTCACTGCCCCCTGTGTGGTCCCCCCCCCCCCCCACACACACACACCCGTTTCCGTAGCGTACAAGACGGTGTCAGGAGTCAACGGCCCTCTGGTGATTCTGGACCAAGTGAAGGTATTACCACACTCAACAACGACAACACATTTTTTGTTGTTGCTTTGGCTGATATTTCCTTTCCGTGGGACTTATATTCACACTCTCCTCCTCCTCCTCCTTCTCCTCCACTTGGTTTTCAGGTGCAGCGGACGTCGCTTAAGCTTTCCCCATTTTGTCACTTGCGGAATTGCATTAAGTATCTACAGCCCAGGGCTCAATTTTTCGCCGAACGTTTTCCGGGTCGCTTGGTAGAGTGGGGCTGGTGGCGCGTGACGAGCAGCCACAGCCGTGGCGAGAGATACGGTGGATGTGGTGTGCAGGCTGCGAACATATTTCCCGGGTGACCGATCTGGGCAAACTTGGCTCAATTTTGGAATGATTATGTCCTGCGTACAGCTCCTGTCTGTGCAGAAGACATCATCCATAAAAGCAGAATGTAGAATTCGTGTCTCCACGAGCTGATTAAAGGGGAATATTGTCTGAGTTAAAACAAGGATAACGAGCGATGGAAGGACCTAAGATTACATCTTCGAGTTTGTGATAGCAGCCAGGTGGTGGTTTCACGGTAACCATGTGTGTATGTTGAACTTCTTTCTAATCATACGTGGCCAACCATTCTAATCGGAGGTGCGGCAAAAAGGACGACGAAACCGTGATGCCGATGGTGATGTTAGGAATAAATAAGGGGGCTTGGCCAGGACACATCACTGCGGGGATAAGGCTACTGTCGGATTGTGAGCCAAAGGAGGTAAACACTTTCTGAGAGCACGTGGGTTCCGCCACAGAGATGGAGCCACGAAATCATCTCGTGCGCAGGTGCGAGACAGACTGCCGCGCGGGACCGTGAATACTCGGGGAGGTCTTCATCCAGCAGCGATGGCCGTCGACGGGGCACAGTAGTAGTGTCGAGCGGCCTCCACCTTAGGGTGCATTCATTCAAACTCATTGACAATGCACGTGTATAGTAGAACATTTATACCGACTGCGTTTTTGTGTGGCCCAGCAGTGCGTGTCGGCATGCCATTGGTTGTTTCCTCATGGTAAGAGTGCACGGATAGAGTAGAGTACCTCCTGTAGCAACAAGGCTCCGTTGCTAAGGGGTGTGAAGGCCTTCATCCAGCAGCGAATGGACAAAGTGCTTTAAATAACAATAATAATGATGGCTTTCGATTTAAAGAAGATGAATCATTGCAGTCACGAAAGCTTTAAATCGAAAGCCATCATTATTATTATAGAATGAGAATAAAATAATTTATTATTATTTTATTCTCATTCTATGTGACTTTACCGAAAGAACCAAAGAAGAATAATGATGGCTATTGTTGTTATTGTAATATCAACCAAACAATTTCACCCAAGTAGCTTTGTTACTAAATACACCAATGAATTGCAGACATTAATGTTAAGTCTGGTATTTACACAATGTGGCATATTATGTAAATTGGGTGACATTTGCTTGGATAGTCTGGTACTGACGAGAGTGAAATGGCAAAAGTTACAACTGGCGCTGAGACTGTCAGCTTTTTCACATTTCCCATCACTCTTGCTCATACGGTAGAGAAAAAAAAGCTAAAATTCCCCAGGAGATATCGTGAAATAAGAATATCTCACATTGAGCAAACGAAGCGAGGACCACGAGTTAACCCATCGTCTCGCGTGGCGTATTGTTACTCAGCTGACGCAAGCCGATGCTTATCGTGTCCTGGGAAGACTTGAACACTTCCCAGAAAACAATGGGGACCGTCCTGGGAAAGCCAGGACAGGTGGCAACCCCGGGTTACCCGAGTCGGGCGAGAATCCATGCTTGTGGCGGGCACAAGGAGAGCTCTTCCGCGTCACTTCACGATGAGAACCTGATGGCGTTGCTTCGCTCCCTCGCAAAGGGAGAGTAGCCAAAAAACGTATTTCCTCTCCGACGACGTCAGCAAATCGTGACGCCTTTTTGATGCAGGATGAAGTGACCTGGATCTCTTTTTGGGACGTCCCATTGATGCTTGGGCCGCCGCGTTTTAGGAACGCCGGGCTATGTTGTCAGCAGGGGGTTGGCGAGGAAAAATCCATCGTTGTACCGTACTGTTATGTGCTCCCCGCGTCTACGCTCCCCCGTCTTCGCCAAGTCGCACTCAGTGACCAGCGTGGTGAAGCACGGTCAAGTAACCTGCACCACACTCGCAGAGTCTGGTCTGGGGAGGCCGTCATCCAGCAGTGGATTGACATGTACATCATTAGTTCTCAACCATTTTGGTGTTGCGGGCCCCCCACCCCCAACCCCCCAATCAACACCACTGGTTCCCTTGCTGCTCCCACCCTCAAAAAACGCGACTAATGTCACCTGAGGTCACGATACAAAGAGGGGTCTCACTTTTCCATGCCTCTAGGTAACTCGGTGTTCGTAAACCATTTGATTCTCGTTGTGTTGTATTGTGTTTTGCACCAGTAAGGCACTTGTGTTACGCTGCGTATCAGTGTGTTTTGTCACTGCAACATGGCACTGACATTCAACATTTCTCCTGCACGGTATCCATGCCGCAGCCTGCGCCTTACCCCCCCCCCCACCCGTCCCCCTCCCGCCCCTCGCCCATCCGATCCGAGATAAGAGAGCCTTCGTGTTTCTGCTCCTTCTCTTAGTTTCCCAAATATGCGGAGATCGTCCATCTGACGCTTCCGGATGGCGTGAAGCGCAGTGGCCAGGTGCTGGAGGTGAGCGGCTCCAAGGCCGTCGTCCAGGTGAGAGATTTTCTGCCCCTTGCCCCATCGTCATTGTCGTCACAATCATCGTCATCACCACCCACGTCACAATCATTATCATCACAATCATCATTACAATCATTATAATCATCACCAGCCTCGTTATCGCAATTATTATCATCACAATCATCCTCACAATCATCATCATCACCACCACAATCACTATCACAGTCATCATCGCCATCATCACCTTTTTCGCAATTATCACAAGCATCGCATTCATCTTCATCATAAGCTGCGATCTATCATTGACTGATCCGTATCATCATCCCGCAGAGATCAGTAAAATAAGCACGGTTGAAGAGTACCACTTAGTTGAAAAATTTAACAAATTATCTGGTGATCGCAGCGGCATAAATAACAAAAACAATCTTCTTTGGATCTTTCGGTAAAGTCACGTAGAATGAGAATAAAATAATAAATTGTCCTCCAGACAGTCTCGTCCCCTTCACCTGATGAAGGCCGCTTGTGTTGTGGCCGAAACGTCGTGAGAATATTATTGTGTTATTTTATTTTATCAATTTATTATTTTATTCTCATTCTACGTGACTTTACCGAAAGAACCAAAGAAGATGAATTCTTGCAGTCACGAAAGCTTTACATCGAAATTTAACAAAAACAACTCAACACATTCGTCAATAACACCGTGGCCTTAAAAGGTAACATATTTAACAGGCGACATTTAGGGGCAGTGGCCCTTCAGCATTGCAAATAAATGTGCTACCTCCCTGTTGAAGGGCAAAAATAAAACAAAGTAATTTTCTGACCTTTGTCATACTTCACCCTACTGGTCAATGTGGATTAGTGAAGGGGGTCATCCCAGGACCGTTTCGGATGTCACTGGATGCCAGCGATGTTCGCCGTGCACCAGACGTGGAACTCGGATCGCCCCGCTCCACGGTGCAGCGCCCCAACCGCTACGCGCACACCGCCGCCCCACCCAGGCCTCGCACTTTATTGAACTAAATTATTTCCTAAACGCATTATAAGACGGAACAAGTATAATGCGCGCGATTAAGCGTGACGCAAATGACATTTAATTACCGCATGACATTTACACGAACGCGGCTCGATTTGCATATCCCGGCACTGCCAGTAACAAAGGGGCACCTGTCTGCCTGCCTCAGTGCGAAGCGGGGTGTGGTGGTGGTGGTGGTTGTGGAGAGGGGGGGGGGGGTGGTGGTGGTGGTGGTGGTTGTGGTGAGGGGGGGTGGTGGAAGGCTGGTGGTGGAGGCGAGTGGGCCGTGTTTTGCCAAAAGTTTGCGCGGTCCTTTCTATTTCCATGCAGCGCCCGTTTTATTATTATTTTTTCATTATTTCTGCCCGTCTGTAAGGCCATCTGTGGGCTGATTGCTCAGTGAGCAAGAAGAGTTTGGGCAAAAGGTTTCTTTGGCCATTAAATTAGGCACGCGAGCGAGCGGGAGCGAGTGAGCGAGCGTGGGTTTCAGAGGGAGCGGCGGGGCCCCCCACGCTAACCTCCCAGAGACCCCCGCTTGGCTGGTGGCCAAGTGCCCGCGCGCCAGTGCAGGGCCCTTCACGGCGCGCTTCATTTGTCACCTCGCCTCTGATCTCGCCAAAGTTTTGCCGCCCGGCGCTTTAAAAGCCATCAAGTCTATGTCGCCTGCTCTCCCCAGACGACCGGCAAAGTGCACGGAGCAGGGGTGTCGCGAGCTAAGGTGGCCCCCTCCCTCACTTCCCCCTTGCCCCTCCAACCCCCCCCCCCGACCCCCTCCGCCCCCCCGCGCTGAACGTCGAGGTAGATGCCCCCCCCCCATCCCCCCGAGCGCGGGCGTGAACGGCGAGCAGCTCGGCTCCGGCGAAAGCGACGAGGGTGCACGTCATCGTCATGACGATTGTAATTATTGTGATGTGCAGCCGGAGCGATGAATTAATAGCTGAATGATAATTAAAACGAAGTGGGGTGGGGTGGGAGGGGGGGGAGGGGTGGGGGTGCGAGTGAAAGATATTGATTGAGCGTGGCCACCGATGACATTCTGAGTCGAATCAACAGCACCGTGCCTCCTAAAGGATTTGAATGTGTATAGGGCAATTGATTGCTTCGCTGACAATTTGAGGCTGTCTGATTTTTTCTTCCCTTTGCTCAGTGCAGCGCCGTGCTGTTATTTATAGTCAACTGTGCACTGATAGATAAGGAACCTTCCCTGTCCAAATCCAAATCTCCCAGCGTCCTGTCTGAGCCAGGCGTGCCACCTGACCACTCACGCTTCCTCTGGGGGGTGGGGTGGTTCCTGTTGCCCGCTCTGCACCACCGCAGGTATTTGAAGGCACGTCCGGGATCGATGCCAGGAAAACCACCTGCGAGTTCACCGGGGACATCCTCCGGACGCCCGTCTCTGAGGACATGCTAGGTCAGTCGCCCCGGCCGGGCTGTTTCCGGAAATTTGTGACTGTGATTGCATCCACCTCGTCAATTGTGGCGACGGGATAGCGGGGCAACGGGATGGCAGGACTATGGGACAGTGGGACTATGGGATAACGGGACTATGGGACAGCGGGACTATGGGATAATGGGACTATGGGATAGCGGGATTATGGGATGGCGGAGTGACAGTATAGCGGGACTACGGGATTGCATGGTGAAAGGATATTGGGATTACGGGATAGCGGGACTACGGGATAGTGGGACTACGAGATAACATGGTGATAGGATAGCAGGACGACGGAATAGCTGGACTACGGGATAGCGGGATGATGGTATAGCTGGACTACGGGACAACGGACTATGTAATAGCGGGACCACGTGAGCGTCGCCCATGATTTTCAGCTTTTAGAGACGTTAAGTGATTGTGGAAAATGTGCCTCCGATGCAGGTCGAGTGTTTAATGGCTCGGGAAAGCCCATCGACAAAGGCCCTCCGGTGCTCGCAGAGGATTATTTGGACATCATGGGTAAGTGCTCGCTACATGGATGGGACAGGTTGGGAGTCTCAAGTCTCCCTGCAACTAAAATGGATTCTTTTGTGTGTCACTGTGTTTAATCGTGTGCTGCGCTCTAATAGTTTTGTGAGCCAGGAAGAGAGTCCTTTTAATAAAAGTATCTTCTGCTTTTTATCACTTTATGTAATGTTAAACATTGAACTGGCCAGATGGTTTTTTGTATACTAAGTGAGATTTCTCACTTTCTTATTGTGTAATATTTGAAATTGCTGTCAGAGGATGAATGGTAAAACGTAAGGAGAGGAAAGTTGGTGTGCCACAAACTAGTGACGTGTTTTATTGTTCTCGCCAACTCTGCTGTATTCAGAATAATAAATAATAAATAATAGACACTGAATACTAAATAATAAATACATAACCAATAACACCGTGGCCTTTCAATGAAAAAAATCTATAATTGACGACGTCTCGGGCAATGACCCTTCTTCATAGCACACATATGGTGTACGTGCTAAATGTCACCGATTCTATCGTTTTCCTGTTAAGGCCACGCTGTTATTGATGAATGTGTAGAGTTATTTTCGTGAATTGAGCTGGCTCACCACTGTCAACGCCCGTGGCACCAAATGCATAGTCAGAATGTTCTTTAGAGGTTCTACATTAGGGAAGTGAAATTATATGTACAGTAGTAGGATTTTTTTGAGTGTGTGTTGCTGTTTTTAAAACTGGAAAAAATGTTGCAAAATATATTCTTACAAATATGTTTCCAGTAAGTAAATAATAAATAACAAGAATCATGAAAAGTTTTACCATTATTTAATGTAATCCTTACATTTTGTTGGTACTGTGCTCTCACTTGTGCGGTCCTTCTATTCCATGTCACAATAAATAATGCATATCAGCCCTTTTCCACTCCATCACTGGATGAAGGCATCCTCACGCTGTGTCAGAATTTTGGGAGTGATTTGACCATACTTCACCACACTTGTCAGTGCGGGTTGGTGAAGGGAAGAGCCCCGGAACCGGTTCAGACATCACTCGCCACTGATGTTAGCCATGGCCAGGAATCAAACTCAGGTTTCTCCGTTCAGAGAGCAGTGCGCCACTGCTCCCCTGTTCTCTCTTTCATTGACTCTAAATTGAGCCAAGTGTCTTTTTTGGGGGGGTGCAGTGAACTTTAGTTCTTATTTTTTTAAATATCTACCGACGCATTCACAGAATACACTAAAAAGCATTGTACAGCGGAAGCCTCACATAAGCACACCCATTGTGGGAGCAAGTCCAGGTGTGCATATATCTACAGTGTGCTTATGTGTTGCTCCTCGTCTTTCCCTCAACCAGTGTAACACCAGTGCAGTGTAATCATGCACTACATACAGGAGACCGGGTGATTACATAAGCTTTGCATGTATCCAATTTCCCACGGGAAATGTTTTTTTTTAATATATACGTATGTTGAACTTCTTTCTCACCGTACGTAGCCAACCGTGCTAATCGTAGGTGGGTATATATGGAAAAGCGTGTGATGGAATTTGCAAAAGAAAAAACCGTAACGAGCAATGTTACCCTTGGCGTGTTTGTCCCCGTGCGTTTTGACCGGGCCAGGCCAGCCCATAAACCCCCAGTCCCGCATTTACCCCGAGGAGATGATCCAGACGGGTATCTCGGCCATCGACACCATGAACAGCATCGCCCGCGGGCAGAAGATCCCCATCTTCTCCGCGGCCGGCCTGCCCCACAACGAGGTCCGTCCACAGCTTCACCCCCCTCACCATATATGGGCGTCACGGTGGCGAGATGTTAACTACCTCGCCCGGTTTACAGGAGGTCGTGGGTTCGATCTCAACCCTGACGCCTGTTGTATATTTGTAGTTTGCAGTGTCTCTTTCTCTCTCCCCGTGGTCGTGTGGATGTTTCTCCGGGCCCTCCGGTTTTCCCCTCCACATTTAGAATCAACATCACGCGTTTAGAGTATTTGGCTGCTATAAATTTACGTGTGACAAGCCACTTCGTTGGGCTATCATTTGTGGCCAGGTCGCTTCTGAAAAAGAACTACATAGCTCAGTGGGCCATACCTGGTAAAATAAAATAAATATTGTTTAGTTTCTTTGTTTTAAAGAAATTCCGGGGTCCGCCAGTAGACTGCAGTAGGTGGCACCTGACGACTATCCACGGCCGTGGCGAGAATCACAGTGGACGTGGTGTGCCGGGTGTGGACACGTTTTTTCCGGGTCGCAGGTGAACTGCAATAAGCAGGTGACGAGTAGCCACAGTTGTGGATAATAGTTTCGTCTCATCCATACTGTGTTGAGCCACCATGCTCCAGGTGAATAAAAAAAAGAAACATGTGTACTTCTCGCACTGCTAAACTTTGGAATTGTCTCCCATCGTCACGAGAGGGTTTCGCGAGAGAGTGTGTGTAGTTTTGCTACTCCTCCTCCTCTGCCGAAGGAGCACAGTGGTTTATTATATGGTCTGTAGGTTGGGTTGCACGACCACAGTCGCATTACTGTGCCTTGTCTTTAATTTACCGTTCGTAAAGGAGATGTGCACATCCACCTGTTGATGTTCTCATCGTATGGACAATCACGGTGTACACATGAAAACATCGCTATGTGTTTTGCATGGAAACGTGTTGAAGATTTGTTCCACTTACAGAGAATGTAGGCATGTGACAATATCATCCAATAAATCGATTGAATTGAACTTTACGCTCCCAATAAATCACTTACTTTTTCCTCGCTCCAGTATCCGGAGGATTGGAGGCTGCGATAACCCCTTTTTGCAGAGTGGACCATCGTCAGGAGTCGATTATGATGAATGAGGTGGATGATGGATTTGCGGTCGTGGCGTTTTCTGTGCAGATCGCGGCTCAGATCTGCCGCCAGGGCGGTCTCGTCAAGCAAGGCAAGGACACGATGGACTACAGCGATGACAACTTTGCGATCGTCTTCGCTGCCATGGGCGTAAGTGTCGCTTTCATTTTGGGTGGTTTTTTTGTTTGGCATCAGCCCCTCGTCAACCACTCCCATTGAGCCTCCCTAAAGCCGTCAAGATGATGGTGATTATCAGGGCACGAAGAATGCATTTGTTTTTTGTTCTTACTGTAACAGGTAAAAGGCACAGCCCTGAAATTTCTTGCTTACGCCCCTGATTCGAGGAGGGCCTTCACGAGTGCGAGCTCTGGAGACAGCCCCTCTAAGTGATGGTTGGCCTACTCTTCCACATTGGCCAGATGTGTAGGAAGAGGTGGAAATACCCACACTTTAACCCCCCCCCCCCCCACAAGAGTCTTGTCGATCACACAAATGTGCTGGGCCAAATTATACCCCTGGGTGAACATTGGCGGTGGGGCGGGGGGGAATTTAAGAAACTTTCACCGTTGTTTCAACTGCCGTACCAGGAATTTGAATTCAACTGACGACCCCTAGGATTGCAATGCGAGTGTGTTGACTGTTATACTGCCGCACCGGGAGATGGAATCGAACGAGAGAACCTGGATTGCGAGTCCAGTGCTAATCACTACACCACAGCAATATCTAGCCGTATTGAATCATGGTTCATTCCCTAGGTGAACATGGAGACTGCGAGGTTCTTCAAGTCGGACTTTGAAGAGAACGGCTCCATGGACAACGTGTGCCTGTTCCTCAACCTGGCCAACGACCCCACGTGAGGACCTTCTATACAATGCAGACCACAACACCCTCTCTGCATCCTGAATGTCATCTTCACCACTTTGTATCATCTCCGCCACACTAATATCATCTCCACCATCCTCATATCATCTCCATCACTTTTGTATTATTGCCACCACCCTAATATCATCTCCGCCATCCACTTCTCATGGACAGCACGGGCTTACGATTGTTTTACTAGAAGGGTGTCTGTCACATTGCTGCATGTCACATTAAAAAATATCTAGGATCGGCCAAACATGTAAAAAAGTTTTCTTGGTATTTGACAACAAAAATATATAAATGGGATTTTCTTTGGTCACTTGACAGTGGCACTCACAATCATTAAGTGTACAGTCCCTGGTCATTCCTCACTCTATGTCAGTGTTGGGGGGGGCGGGTTGTTTGGCATTACTTCACCACGGTGGCCAGTGCAGGCTGGTGAAGGTAAGGTGGCAGAGAGGGCATGACCGATTTAAATAAATAACTCACCACTGATGTTAGCTGTGATCAGGCATCACCAAGGCGATGCACCACTCAGCTATTCCTGATGCAATCATGTGGCTCAACGACCTCGATGTGAAATGATAGCTGTTGCTTTTCATCAATATCATTCATGCCAAGAAGAAGTTGGTCTAAACGATCAAATGTAGTCTTTGGGCCTTTCAGTAAAGTCACGTAGATAGAAAATGGCCGAGGCATGCCTAGCTCTGCGATCTTACATTTACTTTCAAATTTCCTTGCAAATTCCATCTCAAGCCCCGCCCACTTACCCTTGGGTTGTACCCTTCTCAAACCTATATAACCTCTGGCTACAGTAGCTCTCTCGCTATATGTCTTCCTGCCTCAGCAGTCCGCCTGCTGTATTTTTTTCACCTGAAGACGATCGCTTGTGTTGTGATCGAAACGTCGTGATTTTTTTTTTAGCATTTTTCTATCTACGTGACTTTAACGAAAGACCCAAAGAGTATTAATTCCTGCAGTCACGAAAGCTTTAAGTCGAGAGATCAAATGTAGCTTTTATAAACCATGATCCATGAACGGAGATTGCCATTTCTACAGGACTCTTGACATCGGAGCTGCAAGGCAGTTGCTGTTGTTATTTTACCGACAAGTAACGCTCAGCCTTCCGCATTGTTGATTAATGCCGCAGTCAGATGAGCTCGAGCAGGGAATGCGCACACATCTCGTTAGCGAGAGTGAGTCTGTGTATTGTTGCTGCATCGCGAATTTGCGATCGTCCTTGAGCCACGCGGTCCACATCGCCACAGAAACCCTCGTGCCGTTTCCCTTCTCGGAAATAATTTGGTGTTTTTTTTACTGATGAGCAGATACGTTAATAATGCGTACAATGTCCATTTGCGTCTCATTAGTGTTTGTTCGTGTTTGGGGGTAATCTTTATCTTTCGAGCAAACTGGAAAGACAACAATGTGAAAGTGTAATTGGTTATGTATTATTATTTTTTACGAACAAATGTTTCCCTTCCAAGCCTCATCTGGTCGCTGCGTTTGAAAGCCAAGTAGCTGGCATTCCCCAACTCTTAGGTTCCTCGTCTGGCTCGTATTCAGCACTAACACTGGAAGCACCACGCGTTATTGGGTTATGAGGTTTAACTCCCCTCCCCTCACCATGGTGATTCTATTAATTGTCGTCATTCAGGGTCATCCATATTAGCCTGCCATTATTGCAAGCTTCCATCCAAAATGACCATATGATTTACATGTAATGTCGGCAAAATCAGAAATCAGTGACTCTTATACACTCGATTCGATTGCTGGTATCATTAGCCTTGAGGATCGATATTGATCGATTAACAGCCACATGAAGCACCCATTGCACACGTAGTGATAATAAAGCAGCCAGATTGATTTTACGTACTGCGTATATGAAGGCAGTGTGGGTGCTGAACCAACATTCCAGGATTTCTTTAGTACTGTATAGTATAGTTACTTGATGCCTTAACAGTGGAGTGCACGAACTAAACTAAACTTTTTTTTTATTTTTTACCACGCAAGGCCCACTGAGCTATGTAGCTCTTTGTCAGACGCGACCTGGCCACGACAAAGTGGCTTATCGTGTGAAAATGTACAGCGGCCAAATACTCTGAACGCGTTACGTTGATTCGATTTGTGGGAGGGAAAAACCGGAGGGCCCGGAGAAAAATCCACGCGATCACGGGGTGAACACGCAAATTCCAAATATACGGGCGCCCTCCTGCATACCAGGCGAGGTCGGGAACATCTCGCCCCCATGGCGCCACTCACCACTGTGCCACCGCTGCGCCCCAGTAATCTAACAAAGATCGACATGTCTCTGCCTGGCGTGGATGGGCCCTGATGCCCGCGGCTCCCCAGGATTGAGCGCATCATCACGCCGCGCCTGGCGCTCACCACGGCCGAGTTCCTCGCGTACCAGTGCGAGAAGCATGTGCTCGTCATCCTCACCGACATGAGCAGCTACGCCGAGGCGCTGCGCGAGGTGAGCGGAACCTGTGCGCACACGCACGCACCGCCACTCACCACCGCTCAGCATTCCCATACACGCACTCACGCACGCGTCTGCGCAGAGCACCGCCCAGCACTCCCGGAGACAGACACATCCACGCACACACACACACCAACTACTGCCATGCCCTGTAATAGATAACGATCCCCCTTGTAGCCCTTAACAGGCTGCTGGGACACGTGCTGTCAGTGAGCATCAATGAGGGCCGGCATGGCACACAAGGGGGTGGAGTGGCCAACATAATACCCGGCCGCCTTTGTCTCCCCAGTGGCAATGTTTACACACCATACCAGGTACTCATTTGAGGCTGAGTCGACCTAGGGCAGGCCCAGTACCGGTTCAGATAATCGTCACTGGTGTTGGCCATGAGCGGGAATCGAACCCGGGTCGCCAGTTTCGTAGCGCAGCGCGCTAACCGCTACACTGCCGCTCCCCACACACACGTACTGACACACACACACACACGTACTGACACACACGTGCACACTCGTGTGTGCCCGCGCTCCCACCCGCACCCAGGTGTCGGCGGCTCGCGAGGAGGTCCCGGGTCGCCGTGGCTTCCCCGGTTACATGTACACTGACCTGGCGACCATCTACGAGCGTGCGGGCCGCGTGGAGGGCAGGAACGGCTCCATCACTCAGATCCCCATCCTCACCATGCCCAACGACGGTAAACGCGCGCTCACCTGCAAAGTCACCTGTGGGCTCGCCCCTTGGCAAACTCGCCTGACGCCACTCCTCAGTGCCGTCACCTACAGGCATGCGCTCAACCGCAAATTCACCCGTACGGTAGTCAAGTTGAGTTTGTCGAACCAGGTGAGAACTCAAGAGATGAGGAGGATGAGCCTCGTTTGCAAGAATTATTTGGGTCACCAAGTTAACCGAAGTGATAACGGAAACACGAATAATATAAAGTACAGAAATCAAGCAAATGTTAATCAGCGCAAACACAGCTGTCTCACATGAGTGCATCATGATAGCCTTGTGTCTGATCCGAGCCCAGTTTTGATCCTCGTCCCAGTTCGACTTCTGGTCGAGGATCAGGTACGCACACTCACCTATTCATTCATCAACACACTCATCTATACACTCACCTGCGCACTTATCTACGAGCTTACCTGTGGATTCCTCTTCACGCTCACATGCTAATCCACCTGCTCGGGCACCTGGCGAAGCCACCACCGCTAATTCCGCTCTCTAACCTCGCGGCACCAGTAATCGCACAGATCCCTGTCCTCGCATAGCTCAGCATGGTGACAAATGGTCAAGAAACTCCCATGACAAACTCGACATGGGCAGACCTTCATCCAGCAGTGTATTAGCAAAGGGCAATTTTTTTTATTTGTTCATTTAATTATTTCTGCTTGTGGTGCTGCGACTAGTTGAACTGTAAGATAAATAATGGTGTCATTTTTTTGGTTCTTTCGGTAAAGTGACGCAGAAGGGAAACAATAAAAGAATAAAAATATAAACCAAATATTTTTATTATTTTATTGTTTCCCTTCTACGTGACTTTACCGAAAGAACCAAGAATATGAATCCCTGCAGTCACGAAAGCTTTAAATAAGAAAATGGTGTCATTATTACTATTATCATACTGTGGTTTGTAAGGCGTTGATTTGGCCAATACATCAATATGTTTGGACATACTTGCAAAGGAACCTAATTGACTCTTTATTTAGGCTTCGCTGGCAGACCGAATCATTTATTTGTTAACTGCTGCAAATAAAAGGACATGCGCTCTGTGCCTCGGCGCTCCGAGGTCACCTGTTGCCACAGAGGCACAGGTGAGCTCGTTGATCAGCAAGAACAGGCAGCGATATCCTAACTACCTCGCCTGGTCGCGGGTTCGATCCCGACCCTAACGCCTGCATATTTGAAGTGTGCATGTCTCTCCCCCGTGGTCGCGTGGATTTTTCTCCGGGCACTCCAGTTTTTCCCCTTCCACATTTAGAATCAACATCGTGCGTTTAGAGTATTTGGCTGCGAGACTTTTCCACGTGATAAGTCACTTCATTGTGCGATCGTTTGTGGCCAGGTATCTTCTGAAAAAGAGCTGTATAGTTCAGTGGGCCTTACCTGGGAATATTAATGCGTCGTTTATAGTTTAGTTTAAAAATAAAAATCGTTCAAGTGTCACAGTTGATCAATGTGCCGGCGAGCTTGAGTTAGACGTGAAGCCATGAAATGTCTGTTTTTTTCACGACCGCTGGCAGAAGAGGGCATCCACTAGCTGGAGATCTCGCGAGCCCCTTTCAGAGAGAGTGTGTGCTTTGGCCTTCTCTTCCACGCTGGCCAGACGTCTCGGAAGAGGTGGAAGTACCCATACTTTAGCCAATCGCACGTGACCTGCCCATCGACTGACTGCGGTGACCCCGTTTGTACTGCTCATTAGGATTTAAGAAGCTTGCTCATCATTTATGTGCTGTGAAGATGGCCCATTTGCCCGAAAAACATGACCTATTATATATTTTTTGTTCTTCTTTAGGCCACAGTGTTATTGACGAACGTATTGACTTTTTCATCATTTTAACTGTCACACTGAGAGCCCTAATAGAACCGGCAACCGACCTCTAAGATTGCAAACCGAGTGTGGCAACAATGACACCCCCTCTGGACACATACCGCTGAATCCCTTTTGTTCAGTGTCACAGTGTCCACCAAGGTGTTGCTGTCGCTTGTGATGTGATGTGATGGCTCCTCGTGTCCGCTTCCGTTGTCTCCGCCTTTTTCCAAAGACATCACCCATCCCATCCCGGACTTGACTGGGTACATCACGGAGGGGCAGATCTATGTTGACAGACAGCTACACAACAGACAGGTGAGACACGGGTTCGCAGGGTCAGGCGGTGATGTTGGTGGTGACGTTGAGGGAGGAGGAGGATGAAGATTCTTAGAAAGTGTTCTACCACTGTGACTTGTTACAGTGACCTTATTTTGATTGATAAACAATGAACGGTTCTTAAACTAATCCAATAATTCCTCTGCTGTTGATGATGGTGATTGTGGTCATGGTGGTACAGCGGTTAGCACGCTGCACTATGAACCGGCGACCCAAGTTCAATTCCCGCTCGTGGCCAACACCAGAGACGATTATCTGAAGAGGTCTTGGGCCTCCCCTAGGTCTACTCAGCCTAAAATGAGTACCTGGTGCAGTGTTTAAGCATCGCCACAAAGGCGGTCGAGCGTGGTGCTGGCCACCCACTCACCCCCTTATGTACCGTGTAATAATCACAATGATAATGATTACGATGGTAATAGCAGTCGTTGGTATAATGGTGTTCGTGATGATGATGATGATGTTGATGATCGCTGTCTTTCATAGATCTACCCTCCCATCAACGTGCTGCCCTCACTGTCTCGTCTCATGAAGTCGGCCATTGGGGAGGGGATGACCAGGAAAGATCACTCGGATGTCTCAAACCAGCTGGTCAGCCTCGCACGATGACCGACCCACACATCTCCGTACAACGTGTCAAAACAAATGATAATCGCGTGACGGTGCATCGATTCGGCGATTAAAATCTATTCATGCATCAAGTCTTGCGTGTAAGTATTTATTCCCGTATTCGCCAGATTAGAAGACGTTCCGGAAAGTGTGGCACACACATTAAACTTGTGCTCAGTGTAAATAAAGACGTACAAATCTGGTTTCACACATGCACCTACTCTATCAGAAGATGCTTAAACCGACTTTTGCTTTTAAATACTGGCGGAAAACGTGTGTCTTAAAATCAGGAGAATGGTCCTGCATTTGCGATGTATGAGAAGGGACTCGCGTGATCTGTAGGCACCAGCACACATTACATTTCACATCATCGCCTGCATGCTGCATTACCTTCATCATTTGGTGTTGAGTTTTTCGATTTTGAGCCGAACAGCTCTCCGATGGGCTTTGGCCTTGTACCGTATCTCGTTCAGCACGACGTCCGACGTTTCATGCAAAGTCCAGCGTTCTTCCTCAGTGCCTGAATATTCAGTTCATGCAAACCTAAAACGCTTACAGCAGTACCGTAAAAACCTACGCGGTGGATAAGCGGAATGTTGGCAGTGGAGAAAGCAGTCTGTATGTCCCGTGTGCGTGTCCCGTGTGCGTGTCCCTTGTTTGCGTGCGCGCGCAGTATGCATGTTACGCCATCGGCAAGGACGTCCAGGCCATGAAGGCCGTCGTGGGGGAGGAGGCGCTCACTCCCGATGACCTCCTCTACCTCGAGTTCTTGCAGAAGTTCGAGAAGACCTTCATCGCCCAGGGTGAGAGAGCGGTTCTCGACCTGCGTCACGCACGGCCGCAATCTCGTGCTTCTCATCGTCGCGCACAAAGACAAAGATCCCTCGCGTAGCCTTAACAGACTGTTGGGGCAAGTGCTGTTAGCAAACACCTAGGAAGGCCGACACGGCACACGAGGGGGGCGAGTGGCCAAGACCACGCCCGGCCGCTTTTGTCTCCCGAGTGGCGATGTTCACACATCGCACCTGGTACTCATTTGAGGCTGAGTCGAACTAGGAGAGGTCCATGACCGATTCCGATAATTGTCACTGGTGTTGGCCATGAGCGGGTGTCAAACTCGGGTGGCAGCTCAGCAGACGAAGCGCTACGCTGCCGCTCCCCACACATTAACACGCACACACCAGTCATGTCTAATACTGCATGAGACCCTTGGAGTGGCAGAAGTGAATGAGTGTGGTGCTATTATTAGACACACAGTGTTGACAGGTCTAAAATATTCCCCTACAGCACCTGATTAGTGCGGCTAAGATGCTTGCAGTGATGGAACAATATTGCCACGGCCATAGTTAGAGGTTTTCTGGATATGGTGTGCCGGGTGCAGAAATATAATCATACAAGTCATGGTGGACAACCATGAATCATGTTTATCAATGCATTTTAACCAAGTGCTATAGATATATATCGAGGTTATTTTTATTATTATACATAGCATAAGTTTTGCGTTTACAAACTATGCACTTATTAAGAATATTACACGGAGGTGGTCATGGTGATGGGACATCATATATGACATCTTAAATGCTGGTTACTAAGTAACTTACTTTAAATATTGTTATAAAATTGGAGCTTGGCCATCCTCCCTCAAGGGTCAATAAAACGAGTTCCACAATGTTGGGAAGTCAGCAGTGGTTACCGTATAGAGATAGCCTCACTCCCAACAGAGTAATGTGGATTTTCCACAACGGGCTCAGGGCCAATAAACAAGAAAGTAAGCACCGCCTGAATGCTCATTCGAAACAGCATTCACTTTGACGTCTTGACTTTGCGATGAATATTGACATCGATATGACGGCGACGACGCTACATTGCCCCCCCCCCCCCCCATGCTCGCTCCGTTTGCTCGGCCCAGGCGCGTACGAGAACCGCACCATCTTCGAGTCGCTGGACATCGGCTGGCAGCTGCTGCGCATCTTCCCCAAGGAGATGCTCAAGCGCATCCCGCAGAGCACCATCGCCGAGTTCTACCCGCGCGAGGCCAACGCCGCCAAGCTGTGACGCGTGCCAGCGGGTCCCAACGCCACCTCTGTCGTCACCGCAGCCTCTGCCAATGTTGCGTGATGGAACGGAGGGGGGGGGGGGTCGGACTGGGAATTGATGGACAGGGAGAGGGGGGGGGGCACACGAGTAAGTGAGGGAGTGAGGGAGTGGGGTGAGGCGCACGGGTGAGTGAGTGAGTGAGTGGGGTAAGGCATCTGTCTGCCCGTTTTGCCAGAGTGCCCTCCTTCGCCCCCCCCCACCACCCCCCCCCCCCAGGCACCCTCTTAAGCCGGTTGTCACGTCCCCCGGATTAGCGTCGGGGTCAGACACACTCGCTTCGACGCAAATGTTGCCGTGACCCTGCGCTTACTCCGACCTCACTCTCAACCCTATTACATACATACATACAAACAAACGTGTGTGCGCACATATGCGTGCGTGTGTGCATGCGCACGTGCTTGCGCCTGTGCATGCTCGCGTGCGTGCATGTCTGCGTGCGTGTGTGCATGTGTGTGTGCGTGTGTGTGTGTGTGCTCACCACTACCCGCCTCGCCCCCCCCGTGCATGTTCCAACGGATGGCGTTTTCATTTCGAGTAGCGTAACGTCGTGTGGCTGTTTGCTCCGTGTGTGTAGCGACTCTCCGTGTGCCTGGACGGCGCTGCGGGCGATGACGGTGTGCTGTGTGACAGCTGGGAAGCCTGCCCATATATTTGTGTTCTTAATATAATTTTTATATGCAGTGCATGCATATGAGGGGTGGTGAATAAAAGGTTTAGGGGATGAAAGAGAGTCACGGCAAATAAAAAAAGGGCACGGCTTCGACGAGGCTTATATATTATTCCCATTAATTCTTCAAATTATTTAAGTCAACAGAAATTGTTAAAAGACGGTACTTTTGCATCGATGTTTTTGTCACCAATTGCAAAAAAAAATTGTAAAACTGCTTCTCACTCGCGTCGTGCATTTGTTTCTTTCCACGTGACATTGCCTCTGGATCATGGCTGACAATGGTGATGGTCAGGTGTAACACGAAGTGCCAATGTTACGTGTTTCGGAATGGAGAAGTTGGGTCATGTTAGGAGGGTTGTATGCATTGTTCCTGCGATTACTTTTAATGTCCCCTGTTCTATCATATTTTGATTCGCATCCTGCACGTATGGAACATATACAAATATACGCATTAATGTCCTCTGTTGATGAAACAATATATACGAGAAGACAAATATTCTACAAACATTTCAGGCGATTGCTTTTCGAGTCAACGTGAGTGAGAGGTGCATTCGTGAATCGTGCTGGACCCTGGCGATAGCCTACATCACCTCCAGCAACAGCAACTCCCCAACATAAAAAAAATCTATGCAGCCTCTAAATGTGACGTAAACAGACCCGTGCACAGACCAGCAACAACTCTTCAGCATTTCGTTTGCCAACGATGCGAGGCCAACGTAGAAGTGTCAAGCTCCCCTTTTCAATGAATTGCGATCGGCAAGAATAACTGTAAGTTCCGTCCTATGGCAGTGCGTTATTCTCTCCCATTGTGCTTCGAGGCACAGTTCAACATGTGGGTGCGGTTTCACAATGTACACAGTTCAAACGTATGCGGATGTCTCTTCATATGTTGCCCTGCATGCCATCCGGCATCAGCGGCAATAGCGGTGATTTAGAGTTCGAATATACTTAAATAAAAACAGCAAGACCGTTTATGCACGAGTGCTTTACTGAACGACGTTTTTCTCCCTCTCCTTTTCATTCCGATTGTGCTCTCGGGTGTCATGCGATAAATAGTCGAGTCCATGGAAGCAAAAACCGTAGAGCTACTTCTGAGATACATTCAAGTGACCGCTGGTCCGCCTGTAGTCACACATATAGCATTTAGCCAAATTGGGGTTAAATCGATTACATTTATAAATGTTGTGTCGTTAAAAACCCGCCACCCCACCCGACACAGCCAACTGGTCAGGGTTGTCACGTAAACATAAAACGGCAATTCGTCACAAGTACAGCACGCGGGTGTGTTGGAGAGCCAAGCCACAACGTTTACAATATGAATACCAAGTTGTTGAACCGAATTGAAGATCGACGAGAGAATCAACTTTTCTGCGCTTGAAACTTCACATTGCTTGGTTCATGGCGCAGTGCGCTAACCGCCGCATCACCGACTCCCCGCGACGATCCCGCAGCATTCGTACTAATATAACGCGTAGGTTTTCACGTCCAATCGAAACGGTTGGGAGCCAAAGCAACAAACAACCCCCCCCCCAAACCCACACACACTCGAGGGGAAGCTAAGGTTTCCGTGAGCGAGCGCCGCAAAGGGCACAACAAAAGTAATTTCCGCGATAACACAAAGAACCCGAAGCCCCGCCATGCTCAATTTGCGCGTGGCACTGCGTGATTGTTGGAAGTGGCCAACACGGTCCAGAAGCGGGGGGTGAAGGGGGGGATGCATTACGGTCCTTCAATACGTGGAGCGTGTGGTGATGATTTGCGCTCTTTGACGCCAAAGCGGGCGCCGTGCTACGAAACCCAGCCACTTTTTGCGGTTTACACAGATGACCGCGCGCTTCTTCAGATGTGCGCGTCTGGAACACGGAGGAAGAGTCAAATGGAAGAGTGGCGACATTTCTCGCGAGTGGCTATTCCTGTGGATAGGTCTTATTTTGAAGTCGCAATTTCTTTAAGATGTAGGGATGTAGGCGGTGGTAAAAAGGGGTAAAGGGGCAGGCCTGCAATTACTGGCTGGCGGAAGGGCTTCAACTAGAGGGAGCCCTGTAGAGTATCTGGACTACTCTTCTACACTAGGCTATGATACAGGGACTCAATGCTGAATGATATCACGTGCTCTTTAATGTCCGCGACATAGCGCAGGGTCCACTTCGGTCATTTCCGCTTGACATTTGTGTTTTAGAAATAGGAGGTACATCATAGACATTGATCAAATCAAATCCACGTATTCTATAGTAGGTCTATACATCATTATCAGCCAAGCTCGATCAACTGCTGGGTGAATGCCGCCCGTTGTCACCATCTCCCGTGATCCAGCGATGCTGATCTCGTCAAGGAGCATCACGCAAACTCCGGTCATCCTCGCAGCGGCTTTTTGGCTTGTCATCGAACAAAGACGTTTGCCGCATCGCGCGCTTTCAGATACGCTTCTGCGGCCGTCTGGAACGCGCTTTCTTCCAGCATTTGGAAGCCACTTTTAAATCTAGATTGAAAACAAATTGCTTTAGAACCGCATGTGTTTTAGTTTGTTGCCCTTCCCCGCACCTCCGATGAGCACGGTTGGCTACGTACGGTGCAAAAGCAGTGCAACGTGCATACAATCCACCCAGCACCTTGACGTCAGCAGAGTTCATCGCTCCATCTCATCGGTGAATGTCCACTTGGACGCGACCTATTGTTGATATCCAGTTCAACAAAACACACTTATTGACTATCAATATAACATATGTCATCTCTCTCAGAGTGTCCTTCTTGACATGTTTGACAAATTCGTCTGAGGTTAGTTTTACACGTTCGAAAGAACCGGAGTAGCTGAAGAACACCGCACGCAAACCAGGAGATCGCGCTCAAACAAAGGACTGAAAGCAGACACCGACTTGTCCGCAGAAGGCGTTGATAATTTAAATCAGGTTAGCAGCGTCCCACTTAATTGACAAGGAGTTAAGGGGGTGGATGGGGTGGGACGGTATGGGATGTGTGTGGGTGGATGAAGTTGCCTCGCCCATTCACTGCTGGTTATCCGACACCTGTCAAATTTGTGACAAAATGTCTAAACGGAATACGGTTAAGCTGTTTGCCTATAATCATCATAAGCTGTGGTCCATCAAATATCCGATTAAGTCGTTCTCAATCTGTCGTCATTGCTCATGGTCCTGATTATTTCACAATTTTTTCTTTCTCTTGCACGATAACTGATCCCATTGCGCATGGTCCTGATGATTTCACAATTTTATCTTTCTCCTGCACGATAACTGATCCCATTGTTCATGGTCCTGATGATTTCACAAATCTTGTCTGTTCTGCACGATAACTGATCTCATTGCTCATGGTCCTGATGATGTCACAATTTTTTTCTTTCTCCTGCACGATAACTGATCTCATTGCTCATGGTCCTGATGATTGCACAATTTTATCTTTCTCCTGCACGATAACTGATCTCATTTCTCATGGTCCTGATGATTTCACAATTTTATCTTTCTCCTGCACGATTACTGATCTCATTGCTCATGGTCCTGCTGATTTCACAACTTTATCTTTCTCCTCCACGCGAACTGATCCCATTGTTCATGGTCCTGATAATTTCACAATTCATCTAAATAACACTTATTTCTTATGGAGAGGTGACTTCTTTAAACAAAAGGAAGGAGCAACAATGGCCTCTCCTTTGTCTCCTGCTATAGCAAATCTGTACATGGAAAACTTTGAAACGAGCACTTGCCTCAAGTACATGAAAACCATCTCTTTGGTTTAGATATGTCGATGACACTTTGGTTGTCTGGCCACATGGTAAAAATACATTTAATACATTTTCAAATCATCTCAATGCACAAAACCCAGCCATTCAGTTTGCCATGGGAATGGAGGTGAACAACATACTCCCCTTCCTGGATATTTTGCTTGGACGCGGTCAAAATAGCAAAATAACACACAGCGTCAACCGAAAGGGAAAGCACACTGATGCCTATCTGAATGCAGATAATCACCCAGCACAGAAATCCTCTCTCATCAAGACGCTCATACATCGGGCAAAGACAGTGTCAGATGGTGAAAGTCTAAGGAAAGAGATTAAACATGTTAAAGAAGCACTAAGACTGAATGGCTACAATAATGCTCAAATTAAGAGAGCATTGAATGCCAAATTAGCCCGTGTTTTGCAAAAGCAAAACATTAAATGAGATTTGGTACGATACACAAAATTTTAAAACTGGTGTCTTGTACTCAAGATGAATTACCGAAGTTATCAAGAGAAGGTGTATATCGGATCAATTGCTTATGCGGTAAGTGGTATATTGGACAGACGGGACGTAACATTAGTGTAAGACTGAAAGAACACCAAAGGAACATTAAATTCTCCCAAACACAGCTGTCAGCAGTGGCAGAGCATGCTTGCCAACAAAGACATTCAATTGATTCTAATAACGTTGAAGTGTTATGCAGAACTAATTATTACTGGCTAAGACTAGTTATGAGAATCAATCGAAATTGAGAAGAATTAAAATAATTTCAACCGCTGTGATAGATACAGACTCAACGCAGCCTGGAAGCGAATTATTAAGTAGCTACCATTTACGGCCATCGGCCAGGAAAGTCACGAAAAAATCTTGCATACGAACGACGCATTCACGCAAGCACCCGATGTTCCCTTTAAAAGTTTTAAAATGAAACATCTTTGAATTGTATTATGTTTTTAATTAGAAAATTGTATTTCTTCATTAAAATATTATATCATTTTACATCTGGAAGACTTCCATGAAAACGACATTTCGTGTTAATTTTCTCTCGTTGTTAAGTAGATGGCCTTGCTGGGGGTTCGGTTCGATGCGGACTTTCACCTGTTTGGGATTGCGCGATCGAGATAAGGCGACACGGAGCTGCTGGCCGTGCGAGAAGACCGCCGTCTGCAGATCGATTCCAACGTAATCGAACGTCTGTCCCTGCGTCTCCGTCGTTCATGCAGGGGGTGCGTAGGTTTGCAGCGCCCCCTGCATGAAAACGACGGAAAGTGCAGCGTTCATCACAGAGAAAGCGTGCTTATATTGCAATTCCTTACAGGTGAGTCACATGCTAAGTGGCTGATTACTGATCTATTACGTAATTTCATACACCCTCGCCTCCGCCTCTGATCGCGAAACGTGATGGGGTTCAACAATGATGACGTCATCTTGCACTATTTAAGACCGGAAGCAGGTGGATGGCTTCACTATTCTGGCAAATAGCCCGAAGATGCTGGGTGTAATTACCAGCGTAGCGGTGTACTGACATTGTAAATGTTGTGGATCCACTCTTCAACACACCGGTGGGCTAAAGTAGTGAACTATTTGTCTTTTGTCAACGTGACACATTTTTTGCTGATTTGCAATGACGGGTGGTGGAGGCTTGCGTCACATTTATAAATAACGCCATCTAACCCACAAACCTTTATTATGAATGCATCTCTGTTCTGCACGCGAACTAATCTCATTGCTCACGTTCCTGATGAGTTCACAATTCACCTCTCTCCTGCACGCGAACTGATCTCATTGCTCACGTTCCTGATGAGTTCACAATTCACCTCTCTCCTGCACGCGAACTGATCTCATTGCTCATTCTCCGTCGTGGTCGTCCTCTTTGGAGCACCCCCCCCCCCTCCTTTCCTTTGCCTGTCATTCCGTCCCCCATCTCGGCCATCTGCCATCGATCTCTCCCTGCGATCGGCCCCGACGTGTCCTGGCCCAACAAGCACCACGCACGTTTCCGACCGCCGAGTGAGAAGGCCGCCGCAGAGTTTGTTTGAATTGAGTCAATTGCTGCTGAGGAAATGCACATTCACAGTGGGCCATTGTGGCTGATGTGATGTACACACAAATACTTTCTTACGTGGGGAGAACAATATGGAAAGGAAGTGTATTATCTATTTTGTTTCTTATATGCACCACGGCGACGCCAATTATTGGCGCGTGTTACTTTCCCGAACAGGCAATATGATTGAAAGCTTTCGTGACTGCAGGGATTCATATTCTTGGTTCTTTCGGTAAAGTCACGTAGAAGGGAAACAATAAAATAATAAAAAATATATAAAACAATACAATTCTCACGACGTTTCGACTGCAACACAAGCTGTGGTTTTCACACCTGATGATAATTGCTTGTGTTGCAGTCAAAACGCTGTGATAATTTTATTGTTTTATATTTTTATTATTTTATTGTTTCCCTTCTACGTGACTTTACCGAAAGAACGAAGAATATAGTCAATATGATGTCCGTGTTTTGCGTTTGTTCGCTGATCTACGTGTTCCTCCTCTTCCTCTTGGTGTGATTTACGAGCAAGCGCCAACCTCTCCGTTCTTTCCTGCCTTTGTTTCTCTCTATGCGTTCTATACGATTCTTCCATTGTCTATGTGTGTATCTGTCTGTATGTATGTACCACTTTGAATGAACCTCATACAAATCCAGTTTTTTTTTTAAAGCTACGTATACACTTTCGGTAACTATCGAAAGCCCATCGTCTGCAGATGTCCGAACAAAAACGCGTTTCTTCTCCACGGCATTTCCTTGCGAAACTATTAAAAATAAACTGCTTACGTGGACTACATAATTTAAAAACTCCTGAAGCTTAACATGGTTATGTGCCGATTTAAAGCTTTCATGACTGCAGGGATTCATATTCTTGGTTCTTTCGGTAAAGTCACGTAGTTAATGATATCATTGCCCAAGTAGACGTGGTTCTCAAGGGCCTGGGTCACATCGCTGCAGACATATCAAGATCTGAAATCGCTGCAACCCTCAAAAACGCTAAGATGCCAGCTAGCAACCTCAGCAAAGATGAGCGTTTTGAATTATATAAATTAAAAAAGAGGGATGACAAGGGCAATGCCACTGTCATCGTGGATAGAATAGAATATAACAACAAAATTCAAGAATTACTCAACGATGGTAGCTATACAAAAATAAATAGAGATCCCACCAACAGCCTCGTCATACAAACCAACAAAATCATTTCTGATTCAACCGCATTAATTGATCAAACCAAACAGTTCTCGTTGAAACCTTCTGCTGCCAGGCCACCAAGATTATACGGCTTACCAAAAATACATAAAGTAGATACACCCCTTCGTCCCATCGTCTCTACTATCATCTCCCCCACCTACAAACTGGCTCGTTTTCTGTCTGAAATCCTGCGGCCTTTCAATGGAAAAACCACCTCTGCGATACAAAATTCTACTCACCTGGTATCGACAATCAAGGGTATTTCCCTGTCCCCAGACAACCTGCTTGTCAGTTTTGATGTAGTTTCCTTATTCACCAAAGTTCCTGTACCTGACACCATCGCAATTATTGAAAACTTGGTTCATCAAGGACTAAACACTGGGGTACCCCCCATGGTGAGACACTGCTTAACCAATACATACTTCACTTGGAATGGAACTTTCTACAAACAAACTGAGGGCACCCCAATGGGCTCCCCTCTATCTCCAGTTGTAGCCAACATTTTCATGGAGAAATTTGAGACTGACGCCATCCAGACTGCCACTCTGCGCCCAACCTTATGGAAGAGGTACGTGGATGACACCTTTGTCATCTGGCCACATGGCCGGCCTGCTCTAGACCAATTCCTCGACCACATCAATTCCATACACCCAGCCATCATATTTACCATGGACGTCGAAAAAGATGGCAAGCTACCTTTTTTGGATGTCCTAATAAAAAAGAGACCTGATGGTTCAATGACCCACTCTGTCTACAGGGAAGCTACCCATACGGATGCTTACCTGAAACCGGATTCCCACCACCATCCATCCCAGAAGAATTCCTTCATCAAGACTCTGCACCATAGAGCCCAATGCATATCCGACCAGGAACACATAGCCAGTGAACTCAAGCACGTACACCAAGCTCTTAAGGCTAATGGTTAATCAGACTACACAATCCGCAAAGCTATCACTCCAACCATGAAGAAGGACCCTCTTGAGGAGCCATTCAAAACCATCACTTTACCCTACATTGCGGGGATCACAAAAAAGATCTCCAAAATGTTGAATAAACACAAGATCCAGGTCCGATTCAACACATTGCATAAAATCCGTGATCTGGTTCCGTCTGTAAAAGATGTGATTCCGGACATACAGTACCCTGGCGTCTACAAACTAAGTTGCCTCTGTGGTAGTAGTTACATTGGAGAAACCAAACGACATGTCTCGGACCGCATCCGTGAACACAAAGCAGACCTAAAACACGGTAGGACCAACACCTCTGCCGTGGCAGATCACTGTTATTATTCAGTAGGCTCACATGACATTGACTTCTCCAAGACAGAGGTTATCTGCAGGCCATCTGGCTACCATGAGAGATTCGTTCATGAGGCTATCCACATATACAAACACAGAGACAATTTCAACCGAGAAGATGGATTCTGGCTTAGCAATCATTGGAAGGATTTGATCAACCATTTCGGGTCTTAATTGATTGCTCACGCTTACGGTGGCTTTCAGACCGCATCCATTATTTTCGTCTCCCCCCTCCTCTTTTCCGAACATAGATGGACTCGTCCATCTTAATAACTGCCAAGTCGCTCTCCGTGGTGCTAACGTTAAAAAAACGCCACTTTTTTCAAAATGTTATTGCTGTGGTTTTCACACCTGATGATGATTGCCTGTGTTGCAGTCGAAACGTCGTGAGAATTTTATTGTTTTATATTTTTTTATTATTTTATTGTTTCCCTTCTACGTGACTTTACCGAAAGAACCAAGAATATGGTAATGTGCACTACAAAATAAGACGTTTCTCCGCTCGCCGCGAGGACCAACCGTCGGCCTAGCAACGGCATCCCCGGCAACAGAAGTCCCTGGCAACGGCTGGTCCAGGGCATCAGAGGAGAAGCATCTGGGAGCCCGGGCGGTTAAACGAGGTAATAAGGAGAAGTTGTGAGTGATTGAATGACGGTGGAATTAAATGGTGGGACGAATGAAACAGACGTTTCGCAAATTGTGCGAATGTGTACAGTACTGTCAAATTCAAGAGCTGGACAGTAAAACGACGCCCACGGGCATTGCAAAATCAAATGTTTTGCTGCTGTTCGTGAGACCCACAGCGTGTGCGAATGAGCAAATGTGTGAGTAAAAGAGGGATGATTGAGAGAGCACTGTGTAAGTTAATGACTGCGAGGCATGAGTAAGTGTATGTGGGAGGAATGAGTGAGTGAATGAGGGGGGGGGGAGGTGCAGTTTAGTGGTGTAATCGTGTGGTATCGTGTTCGAGTGGTTCCGTGTAACGGTGTAGTAGTGAACAGCATTGGTGTAGTGTGTGCTCTGATAGTGTAGTCTCTTCAAGTAGTGGTATAGTGGCGTGGGGTGCAGTGTAGCGGTACAAATTCTTGATTTGTCATGGGTGTGTTAGTGGTGTGGTGAGTGTTGCGGCAGTTGGCCTGGTGAGTGTCAGGCAAGGCCGTAGCCATGAAGTCAACATTGGGGGAGGGGACCAAATCTTCCAGGGGGTGTGTGGGGGTCCCCCCCCCAGAAAAAAATATGAATTTGAAAACGAATTTCCTGCCTAAAATATTAAAAAAAATTCACTAACACATAGGATGGACTTTTTATTCATTTTTTACAATAATGTCTAATAGTGTATTATTGTATTTACATTGCTCTGTTTTTTTCTTTTTTACCTTTTCTTGTTTCATGGTATGTAATGGCAGAGATTAGGGATTCATAAAGTACAACCATAACCACAATCATATAAACAGAAATCTATTATATAGCAATATGTTGGGAGGGGCATTTTGAGCATATTTGAATATGGGGGGGGTGGGGATGCGTCCCCCCCCCCAATATATATTATAATTACGGCCTTGGTGCCAGGTGAGTAGTCGGTGATGTCTGCCGAGTTTCAGGAGGGTGATGTTTGCTGGTGAGTGTCAGCAGAGTGCCTTTTGAGTGGTGTCAGGTGCGTCCGGTGAGGGTCGGGTGGATGAATGGTGAGTGGTGGTGTCATGGGGTTGATGAGGTGTCTGGTGAGGGTGTCTGGTGAGGGTCAGATGTCAGGTGAATGCCTGGTGTGTGACTGGCAGTGGTGTCTGGTGAGTGTTGAGAGTGGCCAACAGAGAAGAGGAGGGGTGGAACCGATGACCAGTAAGAGGACAATAGCTGAGAGAAGGGCGCTGAGGCGATGGGGAGGACAACCCTGTGTGTAGGACGGGCTGTGTGAGAGTGTAACTGCGTGAGTGTGCAAGGGTTATACAGTATGTGTCTATGTGTCGACTCAGCCTCAAATTAGTACTTGGTGCGGTGTGCAACTGACCACCCACCCCCCTCGTAAGCTGTTCCGGCCTTCATAGGTGCTCGCTAACAGCACTTGCCCCAACAGTCTGTTACGGCTACACGGGGGATCTGCGTGTGCGTGCGAGAGGCGTCATACCAAACCGGGGGTTGTTTGACCATACTTCACCACACTAGTTCGTGCGAGTTTGGTGTGGGAAGGGGATCCAGTACAGTTTTAGATATCACTCGCCCCTAATGATGACATTAGTCGCGGTCGAGAATTAAACTTGAGCCTTTGCTGGTTAATAGCCACCTATCGTTCCGCACTCGGAATTCTTCCCATACTTATGGTGCACGCTGGGAACCCGTCATCATTTGCTCTTCACCCGGCACAGTAATTAACGTGGATTATTCTCAGCAACCCGCCCCGCCCGCCCGACCCAGCCATTCACGTATTCCCCGTCGTCCGGGCAATGCAATCCAGGCCCCAATGCACCACGGAGGATGATGATGATGAGGAGGAAGCCCTTTTGTTGACGCGAGCACATTCTTCACGTCTGGCGTTCACGATAGCGCGCACGCACGCACCCACACACGCGCGCACGCACGCACCCACGCACATGCGCGCGTGCGTGCGCGCATGTGCGTGGGTGCGAGTGGCGACGCCTGTTCCTTGACGACCGGTTTTGTTGATACTTTCGTCCCAGTGCCGGGATGCATCCGCTTCAAGTGCGCCGGGGTGGGTTGGAGGCAGAATTTGCCCGCAGGGACAATAACAGTAACCGTACTTCTCTCTCCGGGACAGGTAACATTCAAATTCTTGATTCTTGACTTCACCGAAAGAACCAAGAATATTAATCGCTGCAGTCACGAATGCTTTGAATCAAAAGGTAACATTCAAGTTGGTGTTGTTACTCGTCCATATCAACTCACGGTTATTTAAGGCTTTCGCATTTTGCTTTTGCGCCTTGTGGGCTGTGTGTATATACACATCCATCGTTAAGAATTACTCGGGAGTGGGAATTTCTGGGGGGATTCGGGCATCAGGAGTAATGTAGGCGGCGTGTCGAATGTAACTCGACACGTCACAATTGTGACCGAAGGCTTAAGGCAGGCGGCTCAAAGTGCAAGATGTAATCTTACGTTGACGACAGCAATTGTTGTGCTATCGTCATAATCGGCAGACCTTTGTCAATGCGCTGCCGGATTGAAGGCCTCCCTGCGTCGTGTCGGTCATGGGGGTTGTTTGACCATACTTCACCACGCTGGTCACCGGCGTAGGCTGGTGAAGTGACCGCAGGACTGGTCACTCGCCACTGATGTGAACCGCGGCCGGAAATCGAACTCGGGCGGCCGAGGTTCCATTGCGTATTGTCTTAACCATGGCGACACCGGCTCGATCGCACCTCCCGATTAGCACGGTTGGCTACGTACGGCGCGAAAGAAGTTCGACATACGGTGCATACATACATACATACATCTTTGGTGCACGGTGCACTCTGGCTAGGCAGAGTGAATATTCGACGTTTGTTGAAGATTGCGAGAAATTGCGAAGGCAACCTTCGGGGACGTGACATTGCTGTTGCCTGCAGCGTGAGTTGGCGCAGGTTCCCGGCTAACGTCGCCGCGTAGCTACAGATGTCGGCCTTCCTGTCGCGGCCCCTGGGTCCCGGGTCCAGTTGGACTCCCGGCTCAGGGTCATGGCCCGGCCCGACGGTCGGGGCTTCTCCTCCTCCACCGGACGAGCTCTTGGCGGCCGCGGTGGGAGACGTGGCGTGGATGGAGCTGAGCCTTGTGAAGGCCGGGTCGCTTCTCCGGGAGGACGGACACGTAAGAGGTCCCACCGCCGCCACCACCACCACCACCGCACCGCACGTTGCACATCAGCAGACCAAGCCCAGGAGACCACCAAGTAGATGGAGGCCATTTTGTTCCACGCTGTTTGGTTTTCACATCGCGGTTGCTGATCACAGGCCCAGCACTGCCAAGCGGCCAAGTGACACACATCGCTGTTGGAGGTGTACCGTATTCTTCGGATGATAAGCCGCATTCTTCCCACCTGCATTGTAAAGCGTTGTTTGGGGTGCGTCTTATAACCCGGTAGGTGTGTGTGTGTGCGTGTGACGATGACTTGGAAGATGATTGCTTATGGTGGTTGATAATGATGACGGTGTGTGTGCATGCGTGTGTGTGGAAGCGGTAGTGTAGCGGTTAGTGCGCTGCGCTACGAACCTGGGCCACCCGATTTCGATTCCCGCTGACGGCCAACACCAGTGACGAATATCTGAACTGGGCCTCCCCGAAGTAGACTTAGCCTCAAATGAGTACCTGGTGCGGTGTGTAAACATCGCCACTTAGAAGACAAAGGCGACCGGCGTGGTGCTGGCCACATCACCCACTCGTCGTGTCCCGGCCTTCATAGGTACTCACTAATAGCACTTGCCCCAACAGTAGGTTAAGGCTATATGGGGGATCTTTATCTTTGTTGACCAGATTTGTATAATGTACCTTTATTGATACAGGACAAAAGTTTGGGGTGCATCTGACTTTTCAGAACGCCTTATATTCCAGATAATGTGGTGACAGATGACGGTCAATATGTTTATTGAAATGAACAAGAGAATACGAATTCCATGAGGGAGAAAATTCCAAAGTCGGGCTCTGCAAATGTGGACTCCGCCTGTTCCATCTGTACGGGATGTTGTTACCTTGTCACGCGCGTGGATTTTCTCCGGGCTTCTTCCGGTTTCCTCAAAACCTGCAAACATGCATTAAGTGGCGGCTGAACACATCTTAACATATCGAGAGGAAGGCAGAGCTAGTGGGGGAAGGAATTTGTCGCCGGCTCACCGCCGTGGCTGCCTTTCCCGTTTGTCCCGTGGTTCCTTCTGGCGTCTCCTGTTAAAAGGACCACCCCCTCCCGCTGAAAGTAATCAGAATGGAGGGGCACTATCATGAGTGATTTGCTCTGGCTTTGGCGAGGCCTTCGTCCAGCGTCGGGTTGACCATGGTCGATGGTAATGACGGTGGGATTAAATGACTCGAATTGCCTCCCCTTACGCATTGTGTTGTAAGAGTGCGATTAAGTCAGGTACCGCTCGCAGCTGGCTGCATCGCCCCCCCCCCCCCTCCTCCCCATTTGCTGCTTTGTCCATTAATGGCCGGCCGCAAATGCCCATAGCTATGGCAATGAAAGTTTTGTCTGAAACAGCTTTGCCGTGAGCTGCGTAGCGTAACCATGCCGTGTTTTTTTGTGGACGTTACCTGGGTAACGCGTTAACAATACTGCTCCAACGCGGCACGGCCACACATTTATTTATTTAAGGGTTGAACCCATGCAGTGTGACCCCCCCCCCCAAAAGCTGACACGCTTCGTCTCTCGAGCTTTAACGGTGTGAACCGCCTCAAATTTCCGCTGCTGAATGCCCATACATTCATGTCGTCTCTTTAATAGCCCCGGGGAGAACCAGAGAACCAATTGAGACCAAAAGTATTATTTTCCAAGAGGAGATCTGGGGTGACAATGAAAGCACGATAATGAAACTAAAACGCTAAAAAACCACGTGCCACTTAAATAATGCGGGCACGTACAAAAGCGTTGTCTCAACACGGGCTGCAATAAGCACCAGTCACTAACTGCTGTACCACTGCTCAACTCCTCCATAATGGATGAAAGATAAATATGCCATGTTTGCTATTGATGTGATCAGTGGGTATTCACCTGCTATGAAATATAAATCAGAAACATGGACACTGACAAAGATGGGAGGGAAGAAAATATCAGGGGTCCACAAAGACGTATGGAGAGACACAGGCTCAAGATTGCACTGGGAGATGGAACATGTGGATTTTATAATATAATAATGTTAAAGACATGTTGACTGTGAAGAAAAGTAAGGGGGTTGTGGGTAGGACACGTCCAGTGAGCGAGAATGACGATGGAGTGGCATTCAAATGAGGGAACGCGCTTCATAGGAAGTCCCTCGTGGAGATGGAGCGACGAGATAATGTACAGGTGCTGGGTGAATTGTTACATTGTGGGACCGTCAAGGATGGCCACGATGTGGAGAGGCCTTCAGCAGTGGATTGATCTCGGCTGATGATGATGATGATGGACGGACGGACGGACGCTGCAGGTCTGAACGGGAGCTACGGTAGCGAGGGAGGATTTATTCGTTGAAAAAAAATCCAGGTCCAAATGTAAATGGTCCTACGGGTGTTACGTGTCACGTGCCTTTGTTCGGGTCACACGGCAGAGGCCTTTGTGGAATATTTACCACACACGCCGCATCCACCATGTGAACCAATTATTTCATGTTCTCGGGCTAATTGGTCATTAGAGAAATGAGGCAGGAAAATTGAAGCAGCAACGAGATTTGTCAGGACACTCAGAAGAATTACTCCGTCTGTACATGTTGAGGGGAGCGAGCCCTACGGTGTCTCACAATATGTCCTGTTTATTTTCTCCTGCTGGCAGTAACCCCCACCTCGTTTAATATATAATACACACACACACACGTACAATACGAGGGCCTGAATAAAGAAAGTTTGATAAAAGTGGACTCTGGCAGGGGGCGATGGCCGGTGGTCGAGACTAATTGTCATTGGCAGCCAAAGGACGGAACAAGCCTGAGAAAATTTGCACTGCATACAATTTCTTCAATTTACAAAAAAAAACTATTCCAATCTCTTAAGCCGAAGCATTAAAAACACGGGAAGAGAGTTCAGACATTTCTCAAAGTTCACACTATCTGAAAGGAAAATATGTTGGTCAGAGTCGTATGTCGTACGTACATCATCAATACCATACTGGCTTCGTACAGGTGGATTGATCCCTTGCGGTAGCAGTGCGACTGCGTTGGGCTTTTTTTTTTGTCGTCGTTCTAACGGTATGTTACTACCTCAGTGGGCTTTGCCTGCTAGGGTGGAGATGGTTTAGTTCTACTTGTATGTTTGTGGGGTGATTTGTTTGCCTATCCTGTACCTTGCGCGACAATCGTGCTTTTGTACTGTTTGTTGTCGTAACGTTCTTACCCGCCCCTACTGGATATCTGCGGGGGGAAACAATAGAGCTGCAAAGATCAGCGGATCCCAACACTAAACAGTCTGATTCTGCTATCGTTTCCGATCCCGTAACCCCCCCCCCCCTCCTCGACGTCGCAGGGCCTCACGGCGCTGCACGTGGCCGCGCTGCACTGCCGCCTGAGCTGCCTGCGTCGGCTACTGGAGCGCCACGGCGTCGACGTGGAGCTGGCGAGCTCCACGGGGTGGAGGGCCCTGCACCTGGCGTGCAACGCGCGCCGGGGCGCCCGGAGCGCCCTGGCGTGCGTGCGCTACCTGCTCACGAGAGGGGCCCGCGTCAACGCGTGAGTCGCGGACCTCAAAGTCGGGATGGTTTTTGTTTGCGCTTGGAGGAATCCGATGAGCGATATTAATCTCTTTTTTTCACAGATGTCCAGTAGGGGCGCGTTCAGAACGTGACAATAACAAACGATATAAACGCAACGTATAGTAAAATTTTAAATAAAATGAAACTAAACTATGTTTTATTTTACCAGATAAAGGCCACTCAGCTCTATGTATGTTGAACTTACAGTATATCACACCGTACATAGCCAACCATGCTAATCCGATGTGCAAGGGAAGGACACCAAACTAAACACAAAAAGCAGTTCGAAGTAAATTTGTTTGAAATCTGAAAGTGCATAGCTCCAGTAATTTTCTAATATCGGAAAGAAGAGCATTCCAGACGGATCTGCTGCTGTAGCTGTGTGGATGAGTGGATGGATGCATGGACAAGGCGTTCGTTGTGTAGTGGTGGTAGTGTTGCTGATTGTGGTGTGGTGGTTGTGATTATAATTATGGTGGTGATTGCAGTGTTGAGATATGAGGATGATGATGGTCGATGTGATGGTGGTGGAGGTGGTAATGGTGTTCACATTGAGAATGATGGTTGCGGTGGAATGTGATGATGGTGGAGCCATGAACCCCGTGACCTGAGTTCGATTCCCGCTCACGGCTAACACCAGCAACAAATATCTGAACCGATGCTGGGTCTCCACTAGGTCGACTCAGCCTTAAGTGAGTACCTGGTGAAGTGCGTAAACAGCATTGGGGAGACAAAGGCGGCCGGGCTTGGTGCTGGCAAACCCACCCCGTTGCTTGTCATGCCGGCCTTAATAAGTGCTCGCTAAGAGCACTTGCCTCAATGGTCCGTTAAAGGCTACAGTATATGGGGGATCTTTATATTGTCTTTGATGGTTGTAAGGATGGTGATGGTAGTGGTGACAATGGTGACGGAGGTGATGATGATGGTCCTGGTGGTGGTAGTTGTGGTGGAGATGATGCTGATGAAGATAATCATGACGTTGTACTGGTGATTAAGTGATGTAGTGCTCATAGAGTTCATGATGATTGTGTTTATAATGATAGTTGTGCAGATGACAGTGGTGGTGAATCAATGATGATGATTATGATGACACTTCTTTTTGCATATGCTTTATTTAATCGTGTTAAAATATTCAATTCTCATCCAAACCCTATGATAACAATGGTGGTGACAGTGATGGTACAAGATGGCAATTATCTCTAGACAAATTGTAAAGTTTTGAGGACAATGATTATGACAATGGCGATGTCGATTGTTCATGCCGTGTTGACATGGAAAGCACTGCGGTATGGAGATAGCTGCATAGCGATGTTCTCTGCGCACATTGTAAAAAAGAATTATATATTTAACTCAATGGGTCTGATTCGCAGGCTTGGCGAAAGTTTTTTCCCGTCAGATTTTTTTAATCACATTTTTTAAAATGAAAAATCTTCCATTGTCTCCATCGCTCGCAATTGGGAAAGTCGCTTAAGCGACGTGTGTCAGCCCCTTCGACGAGTTGTGAATGTGGACCCATTTTATTAACACGACAGCCCAACGAGACCGATTATTCCTTTGCCAGGCAGCACTGAGATACAATTAGCTCATCGTTGGTAGGCATTATTTTAATCCAATACATTTAGCCGTGAGTGAATTTCATATTTAGGGTTTGGGCTGTGGCACTGGTACACAATGGTTGACTTGCGAATTATATCATATGGTCTTGATTTCATCACCTATGCCATATATCCCACTCGAGCACAAGGTTATACTATATTATTGTACCCTGCATTCCTATATTCCTGTGGGGAGAACACAGGTATTATGAGGGCAAAATAAGGTGAGATGGACGTAGCCTGCAAAAGCATATCCCGGGACGCCGTTCCAAACTGTTGCGGATTAAACCAAGCAGTGACTGAGACTGTGACTTGAAGTTAAACGTGCCGACGGAATTAATGCTGCTGCCCAGGCGCAACGAGGATTCGGTGACTCCGCTGCACGTGGCCTCCAGCGAGGGGCTCCTGGGCTGCGTTCGGGCCCTGCTGGAAGCCGGAGCCGACCCCTCTGCCCGCGACCTTCGCCAGCACCGGCCAGTGGAACTGGCGAGACTGTGGGGCCACCGCAAGTGCACCAGGTGCCGCGTGGGAGGTGTTGGGGAGTCGGGGTGGGGGGGGGGTGGCTCACCAGGGCCGTGGCGATAGCTGGTGGGGGGGAGGTCAGGTGGGGGCTGTTTGTTGCCAAGCCTCGGGCTCGCAGAGGGCCTTCGTAGGGGATGCCGTTGATGCAACCGCACAGAAACCCACAGGTCGGAGGGGTCCAGGCGCTGGGTTATGAAGAGGAGGGTGGAAATAAATAACAATGCTTTCACTTTACGGAGTGTCATTCACGCCAACAGCATCCCACAAGGCTGTACGTTAATTATATAAAAGTACCAAATCCCATATACGCAACTGACTACGCACGGCGCTAGAGAAACTGAACACGCGCACGCACATACGCACCAAGCAAATAAAACCCTGCTGCCAAGCAAAAAAAAAAGGATAAACAAATTAATAAATGGCACCAAAACAAAAAGAACAAATAAGAATAACAAAAAAGTGATTAAAATAAAGATTTTGCACAGGGGTCTCCATGTCATTCTTTGCACGGGGGGCCCATGCCAACCACACCGTGCCGCACAACTCCACCCCGCTTGCCTGCAGACACTGCCGGTCGCCGACGCTAAGGACAGGTGATGGCTCTGCTTGCCCTGGATGTTGACAGGCTCCTCGCCAGCGTCATGTGGATGGACGAAAAGAACGAGGCCGCCACGGAGGACGTCGAGCTCCTGAAGATGGGAAGACACTTCCTGGCAAAGGAGAAGCGACACTTTGCCAAATGCGAGGTCAGAACACGCCTACCGGCGATTGCGTGAGAAATGAGTCACGGCTCATTAATGGTGATCTTTCATAATCACTTTAATGAGTCATGCCCCTTATTAGCCGGTGTTTTGGCCCCACGGTCCATTATACCTGCGGCGTGGCTAAAGCGAATATGCTGACCGCTGGGTGAAATTACTGACTTGATGGAAAGTGAATGGTGGTTGTTAGATGGATAGGCCGGGCACCACCATAGGTATGTTTACTTAATATATTTATACGATGGAAAAATTCCCCACATTTGTACAATTGTTGTATTATTGGCATCGTTCCACGAGGTAAATTGTCCGTGAGGAACTATCACAGAGCTGTGTGTCACAGCGAGAACAGCACGCAGGAGAAGATATCGCAGAACTACATCTGATATTCCTTCAAGCTGTGCCTTCCACACGTGCCCTTCGACGGAGAAATGTTCATAGCGTGATGAGAAAAGTGATCACTATAACTCTCAGAGCTGGAAATTAACCGAATTCAATGAAAAACCCCAATTTAATGTGACGGTTTTTTCTGTACATTAATTGGTGACTGGGATAAGACCATCAAGGCATGACACCTGAGAACCCGGTCTCATCAGTGGCGCCTGAAACTTGGATTCGAACCCAGTTATCTGTGGTGCCAGCTTAGCCACCCGTGGACTCTGTAGGGTGTAGAAGTTATTTGCCATTGTTGTTTTGTGTGTCTGCCTCTGTGTCTCTGTTCATATGATTGCATTTCTGTCTCTGTAATTCAGTCTGTCTGTGTGATTCTGTCTCTCTGTCACGGTGTATCAGTCTCTCTCTCTCCTTTTCGATGTGTCTCTGTCTTTCACTGTACACTATTCATCTCTATATATTGATCATGGCACACGAGGGGTTTGGTGGCTAGCACCACGCCCAGCCGCCTTTGTTTCCCCGGTGGCGATGTTTACACACCGCACCAGGTAACCATTTGAGGCTGAGTCGACCTAGGGGAGGCCCAGGACCAGTTGAAATAATCGTCACCGGTGACAGCCGTGAACAGGAATCGAACCGGCTTTCGCAGCGCAGCGTGTTAACCGCTGCGCGGCCGTTCCCCTCCATGCGCGCGCACGCACACAGGATGAACGCCAATTCGTCAACGCGATGTCCTTCCTGGGCTGGCTGGAGGACAAGCGACTTCCCGCACCCCCGGCCCCCCCACTCGCGCCTCCGGTCCCCGACTCCCGCCGACGCCGGGGGGGCCACGCACGCGGTCCGCAGCGGCGGGGGGGGCAGGGAGGCGGACAGCCCGGAGGGGGGCTGCCCGAGACGACGGCTCCGGCGAGACGATCGCGGGACGCGCCGGGCCGCACCACCGGCACGAGGCTCCGGCCGGGCACCAACCTCCTGTGCACCGGGAGCGTGACCGCCCGCGGGGTCGCCGACGCGCTCCCGACCCTGACCCCGCGTGAGCCTTGGAACGTGAGCACCAACCCGAGCAGCGCCCCCCGTACGGACATCGCGAGGCCGCCCGGGGGCGCGCCCGGCGTGTGGCCCGACGACGACGACGACGACGATGACGACGGCGATGACGACGGCGATGACGACGAGGCGACGTCCAAGCCGGGGAAGGAACGCCACCGCGCTGGCGGAAAGCTCTCTCCGGGCAGCCGGCGAAGGTTCCGCACGTTCGTGCTCGACAGGGTAGCGGAGGAGGCCGAACGAGACTACGGTCGCGGCGACGACGAGGGCGACGGCAATGATGGTGGTGGTGGTGGTGATGGTGGTGGTGGTGGTGGTGATGGTGGTGGTGGTGGTTGCGGTCGGAGGGCCGAAGCGGTGCACCGCGCGTTGCAGGGTCGTGGCCGAAGGGTCCCAGCTTCTCGCCTCCGCGGGCCCCGGGACTTCACGGCTCGAGAGAGCGTGACGGAGCTGCCGAGGAAGCGGGGCCCCCGAGACGCCTCGCGGCTGCGTGGAGAGGTGGCCATGCACCTGTGCCAGACGGCGCAGTCTGTGCTCTTCTTGGGCACGTGGAGCGAGCAACGAGATGTGTGACGTGTCGCACGTGTGTGCACATTATCAGATGCCCCCATAATCTGTTATTATTAGCGTCTGTTATCTGTTATCATGTGTCGCGTTTGTGTGTGTGTTATCATATGTCACGTTTGTATGTGTGTGTGTTATCATGTATGTCGCGTTTGTGTGTGTGTTATATGTTACGTTTGCATGTGTGTGTGTTATCATGTGTGTCACGTTTGTGTGTGTGAGTGTTATCATATGTGTCACGTTTGTGTGTGTGTGTTATCATGTGTCACGTTTCTGTGTGTGTGTGTTATCATATGTGTCACGTTTGTGTGTGTGTGTTATCATATGTGTCGCGTTTGTGTGTGTGTGTTATCATATGTGTCACGTTTGTGTGTGTGTTATCATATGTGTCACGTTTGTGTGTGTGTGTTATCATATGTGTCACGTTTGTGTGTGTGTGTTGTTATCATATGTGTCACGTTTGTGTGTGTGTGTGTTATCATGTGTGTCGCGTTTGTGTGTATGTGTGTTATCATATGTGTCACGTTTGTGTGTGTGTGTTATCATATGTGTCACGTTTGTGTGTGTGTGTGTTATCATATGTGTCACGTTTGTGTGTGTGTGTTATCATATGTGTCACGTTTGTGTGTGTTTGTGTGTTATCATGTGTCACGTTTCTGTGTGTGTGTGTTATCATATGTGTCACGTTTGTGTGTGTGTGTTATCATATGTGTCACGTTTGTGTGTGTGTGTTATCATGTGTCACGTTTCTGTGTGTGTGTGTGTTATCATATGTGTCACGTTTGTGTGTGTGTGTTATCATATGTGTCACGTTTGTGTGTGTGTGTGTGTTATCATATGTGTCACGTTTGTGTGTGTGTTATCATGTGTGTCGCGTTTGTGTGTGTGTGTTCTCATATGTGTCACGTTTGTGTGTGTGTGTTATCATATGTGTCACGTTTGTGTGTGTGTGTTCTCATGTGTCACGTTTGTGTGTGTGTGTGTTATCATATGTGTCACGTTTGTGTGTGTGTGTTATCATATGTGTCACGTTTGTGTGTGTGTGTTATCATATGTGTCACGTTTGTGTGTGTGAGTGTTATCATATGTGTCACGTTTGTGTGTGTGTGTTATATGTGTCACGTTTGTGTGTGTGAGTGTTATCATATGTGTCGCGTTTGTGTGTGTGTGTGTTATCATATGTGTCACGTTTGTGTGTGTGTGTTATCATATGTGTCGCGTTTGTGTGTGTGTGTGTTATCATGTGTCACGTTTGTGTGTGTGTGTGTGTTATCATGTGTCGCGTTTGTGTGTGTGTGTTATCATGTGTCACGTTTGTGTGTGTTATCATATGTGTCGCGTTTGTGTGTGTTATCATGTGTCGCGTTTGTGTGTGTGTTATCATATGTGTCACGTTTGTGTGTGTGTTATCATGTGTGTCGCGTTTGTGTGTGTGTGTGTTATCATATGTGTCACGTTTGTGTGTTATCATATGTGTCACGTTTGTGTGTGTTATCATATGTGTCACGTTTGTGTGTGTGTGTTATCATGTGTCACGTTTCTGTGTGTGTGCGTTATCATATGTGTCGCGTTTGTGTGTATGTGTGTTATCATGTGTCACGTTTCTGTGTGTGTGTTATCATATGGGTCACGTTTGTGTGTGTGTGTTATCATATGTGTCACGTTTGTGTGTGTGTGTTATCATATGTGTCACGTTTGTGTGTGTTATCATATGTCACGTTTGTATGTGTGTGTGTTATCATGTATGTCGCGTTTGTGTGTGTGTTATATGTTACGTTTGCATGTGTGTGTGTTATCATATGTGTCACGTTTGTGTGTGTGTGTGTGTTATCATATGTGTCGCGTTTGTGTGTGTGTGTGTTATCATATGTGTCACGTTTGTGTGTGTGTGTTATCATATGTGTCACGTTTGTGTGTGTGTGTTATCATGTGTCACGTTTGTGTGTGTGTGTTATCATGTGTCGCGTTTGTGTGTGTGTGTTATCATGTGTCACGTTTGTGTGTGTTATCATATGTGTCGCGTTTGTGTGTGTGTTATCATGTGTGTCGCGTTTGTGTGTGTTATCATGTGTCGCGTTTGTGTGTGTGTTATCATATGTGTCACGTTTGTGTGTGTGTTATCATGTGTGTCGCGTTTGTGTGTGTGTGTGTGTTATCATATGTGTCACGTTTGTGTGTTATCATATGTGTCACGTTTGTGTGTGTTATCATATGTGTCACGTTTGTGTGTGTGTGTTATCATGTGTCACGTTTCTGTGTGTGTGCGTTATCATATGTGTCGCGTTTGTGTGTATGTGTGTTATCATGTGTCACGTTTCTGTGTGTGTGTTATCATATGGGTCACGTTTGTGTGTGTGTGTTATCATATGTGTCACGTTTGTGTGTGTGTGTTATCATATGTGTCACGTTTGTGTGTGCGTGTTATCATATGTGTCACGTTTGTGTGTGTGTGTTATCATATGTGTCACGTTTGTGTGTGTGTGTGTTATCATATGTGTCACGTTTGTGTGTGTGTTATCATGTGTCACGTTTGTGTGTGTGTGTTATCATATGTGTCGCGTTTGTGTGTATGTGTGTTATCATGTGTGTCGCGTTTGTGTGTATGTGTGTTATCATGTGTCACGTTTCTGTGTGTGTGTTATCATATGTGTCACGTTTGTGTGTGTGTGTTATCATATGTGTCACGTTTGTGTGTGTGTGTTCTCATATGTGTCACGTTTGTGTGTGTGTGTGTGTTATCATATGCCTCCATAATCTGGAACTCGCTTCCCAAAGCAATCCGTTCTGCTGACTCCCTTCACCCCTGTTGAATTCCAGGCCCAAGACCTCCTTTTCCTTTCGCCACTTAATACACATGCTCACTCTTCTGTACAGCATCTTGACATGCACATTTAGATGTAGATACGATCTGTATCCGAATTAGAATTGTACTGTAACGTGTGACTTTATCAGTAACAGTATTAGCAGTAGCAGCAATACCATCATCAGAAGCGATAGTCAAATCAGTATCAACATCATCATCAATCCAATATATAATCGCGTAAAGCAAACACTCCATAGATTGTGCGTATACATGTCATGTTGTTCCACCACCACCACCATCATCAGCGGCAACAACAACAGCACCATCACCACCATCATCGTGAACACCACTGCCACCATGATAGTTTTCATCGCCACCAACACATTCAATGTAAACACTTTACGGGCATACACAATCATCATCCATCCATGGCATAATTACCTTGCAAAGCAGCAACACATTGTGCACAATGTAAAGACAGACATCACGCGCCATCATCATCATCACAAGTCACGATCTATCCACTGCTGGATGGTCTCCTCTCTCGCAGACCTGCATCATAGAGCTCGTTGCCCCATGCATCTTCCGTGGAGCAGCCCGGTGATACGCGAATCGCCCATGCCCCATGCTCGCAAGTTAGTGCATGCACCGTGTGTAGATTGATAGCCCAATGTCCGTTTATTTGTGGCCAGGTAAGCACCCACTGACGGGAAATGCGGCAGTGGGCCACGTTAGAGAGAACTACTCCGGTAAGGGGCCGTCCATAAATGACGTCAGGCACTTGGGGGGGGGAGGGGGGGTGACGAGGGGGGGGGGGGGAGAAATGTGACGGCACGTAAAAATGCGCAACTTTAAATAAATATAGACAACGCGTTATACTTAAATTTTGATTTAAAGCTTCCGTGACTGCAGCGATTCATATTCTTGGTTCATTCGGTAATGTCACGTAGAAGGGAAACAATAAAGTAATACAAATAAAATAATAATAAAAATATTGTTTCCCTTCTACGTGACTTTACCGTAAGAAGAAAGAATACGTTCTACTTAAATAAATAGACTTTAGGAATAGGTTTTACCCGTTTAACTGGCACAAAAACTGACACCTTTATTCAAGGCATCATGTTTGCAAAAACCACAACACAAGCAGTCAGAATGCAAACAAAAAAGTGTTGTGGTTTTTGCAAATATGATGCCTTGAATAAAGGTGTCAGTTTTTGTGCCAGTTAAAAGGGTAAAACCTATTCCTATATCTTGTTTCTGGCAAAGGAGGTCTCATAATGTAAATAGACTTTTTTTATAAATGTTTTCTCCTACAACATCAGAGTGCGGCGCCACATTAAATCCGCACTACAATGACAAGAGTTTAAAGCGATTTGAAGCATGTTTTTTTTTGGGGGGGGGGGGGGCAGTTCTTTGTGACGTCATATTTGAGGGCGGGGGGTTTGACTTTTTGTGACACCATGTGACGAAGGGGGGGGAGTCATAAATCGTCCAAAATCGCGTGACGTCATTATGGACGGCCCCTAACTACGAGTGGCCCACCGATTTCAATAGACAAGGAGTCATTTGAAAAAACGCACTGTTTGTAGTTTATGCAAACGACATTGAAATTGCATAAACATTCGACTCAGTTATTTCACCTCGGCGGCATCGGCGATGCGTATGCGCTCCAGCATTTACAATGACCCTGTCTGTGACTGGAGCTCCCGTTTCAAACTCCTACAACGGACGCGCGCGCGTTTGAGTCCGTCTTGAGTGCGGTGCCGTCGTGAGCCGTCAGGGTCTCAACGGGTTTCCCACTCTCCCGGCGTAAACTGGTGAGCACCGGGTGAGTGATGAATGTCCGACGAGAACCCCTGTGAACGTCAAGTCACCCTGTTCCTGCGGACAGGCTGCCCGCGTGTCTGATGTGCATGTAATCGCCCTGTTTGCGAGAGATTTCGGTCCATTAAAAGCGCCGCATATGGCAACATCGTTTGTGGCGCACGATTTACTCACGCCTAAAATAGCCCCGATCTCGTCGCATCTCAGAAGCTAAGGCCTGAGCCTGGTTAGAACTTTGAATAATGACCAAACAGAGGGCATGCCTATGTGTTATAGGCGCGGGAGTGCGAGGTTTCGCCAGCGGATGGCAGTGTTGAGTGTTGGCCCATTTCTCTTGGGCGAATTCCCGCACGGGATAAACTGCCTTCTGAATTCCAATGTAAGTTGTACACAATGTATAGAAATAGACTCGTGGAGTATTATTTGTGATATCGTGGTTAGCGTACAACGCTACGAACCCGAGTTCGAATCCCGCTCATGACCATAAACGGGCGAATATTTGAACCGGTTCTGGGCCTCCCCTCGGTAGACTCAGCCTTCAATTAATACCGGGAGACAAAGGCGGTCGGGCGTGGAGTTGGCGACCCACCCCCTCGTGTGCCGTGCCAGCTTTATCGCTAAACAGCAATTGCCCCAGCAGTCCAGCCGGGATTCTAACTCTCACATTTGCGAATGTGATTTGGATGTTCTTTCCTCATCCAATAATTATTATTTATCCAGGAGAGTCGTATAACTCTTTTTCAGCAGGGTCCGGCATTTTTTTTATTTTATTTAAAGATGTTTTCGGCCAATCACTGAGTGTTATACACGTGTGGTACGAAACCGGAGCACCCAGAGTAAACCCACGCGTGCAAGGGAGCAACACTCTATCACCGTATAGATGGAAACAGATGGCGATTAGTCCACTTGCTCTACTGCCATCTCCTGGCGCGCCAGGGTATGGCACCCCCTCCACCTCCTCTCCCGCCACGGGAAACATCTCTGCTGTGATCCACCAAGCCTCGCGTCTGCCTCCACAGTGCCGAGTTACAGGCCGCGTGCATCACCACCAGTGTAATAAACACAAACATTAGTTCACATTTAAATCAGTCGGTGATGCTGCGTCGGCAGTGGTGCACACGCACAAACACAGACATCTCGACGCGAAAAATTTTTATAAAATAGGCGACGCATCGGGCAATGGCCCTTCCTCGGTGCCCATGAGGGTTAAGGTTCAGTTCGCACCTCTGGCGTGGAACCGTTGCTATACACGCGACGTACACGAATTTTAAATAATACGCAACGCACGCGATTTGATTTGTGTCCCGTCGGCATAAGAACATCAAGTATTGTGTCGCTACACCTCTGGAATGCCACGGGCACGTGAGGTCGCCTCTACGCGTTAATGAGGTTACCCCTTGCAGGACGGTTGTGTAGTACACGTCCAGTCAGATCGCGTGTGTTCCTGTTTTTAATTTTATTGCATGCACTTTTAAATACATTTTGACGTTGTGTTTTACTGCTATGCGCGCTAGGTCAACGTGGAAAGTTCCATCCGCATTATTTGGTACACATCATTTGTTCCTGTGTATCGCCTCTAAGAGATTCCTGCCGTATTAACCGGCTATTACAAATCCAAAACTACGATCGTAGTAGCATTGTTATTATTTGTAATCTGAAATACTGTACCGTCGCCCTCTTTCGGCAAGTGTTGCAAGCGCAGTTCTGCCGGGCCTGGTATTAGCGTTCACGTGGCACGCTACTTGACGTAACGAATACGTTGCAAATAAAGGTACGCGTTATCAAAGAAAGATATGCCTTATTGCAGGCAAGTGTAGTTAATGGCGAGTACAATATTATATATTTTTTTTTATCATGTTTGACTTTTAAGTATTTTAAAGCGCAGTTAGGCGAACAATATTTAGCAATGGCTTGGCTGATATATATATTTAGCAATGCTGAACATTTTAGTGCACAAAAAAATCTGTCAGAATGTAATGTTTGCACTTAAACAACACTGGTGCCGTAGTGTAATTATGTACTTTTTATTTTTTTAAAACCCAATAGTGGCACGCAATAGCAAGGCAAGCAATCGGGTTGAGTGGTGGCGCAGTGGTTAGCGCACTGCACGACGGACCATCCCGGCGACACGGGCGCGACTCCCGATCACGGCGTGGAACAGTGACACCTGTATATATGTTGAACTTCTTTCTCACCGTGCGTAGCCAACCGTGCTAAGCGGAGGTGCATTGACAGGGCGGGGCGAAGTATGGTCACATAAACCCTCCGACACGGCGTCCGTCGCCTTCATCCCACGGTGGGTTTACAAACAGACGGGGCAATGTTCCAATGCATTAATAGAAAACACGATATATACAACAACGTGAGACTCAAAATAGGCTTTTGTGTTAAATTAATTTGCAATTTCAGTAATGTTTTCAGAAAATGTACTTATTTATTCTGGAAATACGGTATAACAATGATGATCATAATCTCTATTTAGACTGCCGGAGGAATCCGATGAGCTATGAAAATATTTTTTTTCACAGATATCCACTAGGGGCGGCTCAGCAAGTTACAGCGATATACAATACAAACACAAACAATGGGAGTGCAAAACAGAGAAGAGGTAAGCAAGTCAGGAAAAAAATTAAATACAAATAAAAAGTACATATACAGTACTAGAATATTCTTAGGTTAAATCGGACGGATGAGGTGCATTACAAACTTCATACTTGTTTACATAATTACAATAATAACTAAATGTGTATGTTCATGTAGCAATAACGCAACAGGCACTGTTTCCTTCATAATTACTATATATGACACAATGAGGGCATATGTTACTGGTCTCATGTACGACGTGTATATCGTGTGTGTATATATAGTAGTAGTGGTGGGGAGCGGTAGCGTAGTGGTTTGACCGCTGCGCTACAAACCCTGCGAGACGAATTCGATTCCCGCTCACGGCCAACACCGGTGACGATTATCTCAACCGGTCCTGGGCCTCCCCTAGGTCGACTCAGCCTCAAATTAGTACCTGGTGCGGTGTGTAAACATCGTTACTGGGGAGACAAAGGCGGCCGGGCGTGGTGTTGGCCACCCCTCGTGTGCCGTGCCGGCCTTCATAGGTGCTACTCGCTAAACAGCACTTGCTCCAAAAGTCTGTGAAGGCGATACGGGGATCTCTGCCTTTGCCCATATATATACAGTATATAGACGAAGAGTTAATAATGTATAGATTGTTTCTGCAACCATGCCGACCGACCGACCGGCGCGAATTAGTACAACGACGTGTTTTACTGTGCTGCATGTAAGAAAATTGGAATGCGATGACTGATAATATTCCCAGTGCAAAATCTGGCGCAGACTTCATTGTAGGCGGGTTGATTATGTAAAGGAGGTATAGCAGCGCCCGGGGTACTGGTTCAGATATCACTCGCCATTGGTGCTGGCCGTGGCCCGGGGATCGAACGAAGCGGCACCAGGTTCCATGCATCGTGCGCTCGCCGGCTCCGAGACACCGCGCTGCCACAGTAAGAAGGCGTTTCTTTTTTTTCGTGGACGAATATAACCGTGATAATGATGTTCGAAAAAGTGTCGTGCGATCGCTCATTCGGTAAACCAAAACGCCGAGGGGGCAAATAAAAATGATGGCTGGCAAATCGGGCGATAGTTTAAAGTAGTAAGGTGTTTTTTTTTTACTTTGCGGAGAAACTGGACTGTCAATGTTTTTTTGTGTCTGTATTTATCTATGTATCTATTGTTTACATAATGCACAATATATGATGTTGTTTGTAAACTGCTGTTTTAAATGTACGTGTAGTTGTGACGTATACACACTCGTCAACAACACTGCCTTAAGAAATGTGTAATTGGCGACGCTTCGAACAATGGCCCTTAATGTGCTGGCTAGCAAGAAGGGACATTGCTATGAAACAGGGCCATTGCCCGAAACGTCGCCGATTCTATATTTTTGTTCGTTTAAGGCAGTATTGTTGACGAGTGTGTTGAGTGGGTTGTTTTGTTGTTCATGGTGCCAACGCAGCATCAGCAGCAGCAGTGTCAACAAATAACTCGTAACGTATGCACGCAGCAAACACAGAATCCCTTTTGAATCACATTGGTTTAAAAAAAAAATTACGCAAGCTCTTGGAGCATCGTGCTTGTGTTTTGACAAAATATCTTAACATGCATCTCTTATTCTTGAGAGAAAGTGCGCGGATATTTTACGTAGAGAAATGTATCGGTTATTTCCCAAATTCGGTATGGACCAAGGCTATGTGGAAAATTGTCGGGTTTCACGTTGGAGTTTCATATTTTTCGAGAACAAGTGCAGTGAATCGAATTAAAGTGATTTTTATTGAAAGTCGATCAATTGGAAACGTGTGTCTAATAGTATGAAAAAATGCAGGGTTTATCATGGCTTTTATTACATTTTGTTACGTTAATTCATTTTCGATGCAGTACGTACATTCGAATTCTACAAGAGGCGTTCAATCATAGTTCACATTCATATCCATTTGATTAATAACCTCATGAATATTTCCACGAGATGGGATGACAGCCTTGAGCAGGATCTAGATTCCGTTTCTATGATCTGCATGTACAAGCCGTTGGGAAGCTGCACGTTCATTCACCTTGCTCGTGAGCTATACTGCCACCATGTACAACACACATCTATGATTCTATATTCGAATAAAAGTTGTGTTAGCTGGCTGGCTGGCTAACTGGCTGACGTCCGGAGAGACGAACGCACGGTCACGTCCAAAGGACGTGCAGGCTGCTCTTGCTAATAATCATAATGCAATTTAAAACGCGCACAATATTTCACAGCCATAAATGACTGCGCGAGTCTGATATGTTAGAGCCACGCTCAGTGTTGCTCGAGAGGCAGGGGACAGAGGTGCATGTCTCAAATCCACCCAGCACCTGTACACGAGCTGACTTCATCGCTCCATCTCCTAACTCCTCCCTCGGTGGACGTGCGCTCGGACGCGTTCCACTCCTCGCCCGCCACTGGGCCATCGACTCCTTGAATTATGAATATTCTGTTCGTGCGCATGGCATTGTGCTAAGGTCTGCTCGCCACGAGAGGGCTTCTGGACGGAGTTAGTGTGGTGTGGTGTTGCCATTCCTCCATTTAAAGAGCGCAGGTTACAGCGGTTCATAATAAAGGTTTTTTTTTTTGGGGGGGGGGTGGTTAGATCGCGTAAATATAAATGTTTATATACTACGCGGTCTAACGCAAAACAAACTTTTCCTATGAATGATATTAGTCGTGAAAGCCGACGTGTTGAACGTACAGTGGTTCACCATACGGCTCAGAGTTTGGATTTCCTGGCCACAGTCGCACTGTCCATAATTGAATGAAATGTGCAAATCGACCTGTTAATGTTCTGATACGGTTGATGTTTATGTATGTGTTTTTTATAATGGGAGGAGGAGGTGGGGGGGGGGGACACACCTCGTCAACAAAACCCCGTGCGTATGCCGCGCGCTCGATAATCCAGCTCAACTCAGCTGCCTTGGTGGCCGCTCCGTGAACCCGGGCTGCGTGCGTCCCTCCTCCCCGCCAACACCACTTTCTGTCCCTCCCGCGGCACCATCGATATTCATGACCATCATCAACGCCACCAACAACATCGCCGCCATCATAAGCAGCAACGGCACCACACCACAATCGCTGCCACCATCAACATCACCGCCATCACCGCCACCACTGCCATCGCTACGACCTCCACCATCAGTATCATCAACTTCATCATAATCGTCACCGCCGCCACCGTCAACACCACTGCCACCTCCGATTAGCACGCTTGGCTACGCATGGTGCGAATAAGTTCAACGTACATACATCAACATCACCGCCACTTATGCACCATCACCATCTACCACCAACCATCGCCACCACAGATAAAGTCTCCCGTATAGCCGTATTGACTGTCGAGGGACAAGTGCTGCTAGCGCGTACCTATTAAGGACGTGGCCGCAAGCGAGGTGGAGTGGTTTGGCTTTAGCACCACGCCTAGCTGTTGATGGTTCTACACGCATCAGCCGGGAATGAATTTTAGGCCGAGTCGACAGGTGGTGGTGGTGGCAGTGGTGGTGGCGTCACGGGGGTGGGGATGAAAACCTGCAAAGAGACCGACTCAGATACAGGGAAAGAAACGGGCACTTCTATTCCCACAGATTTTAGTCTAATAACAGATACGTGAGATAATGTCCATTCAGATAGCTTCATTACACGGATGATCCTGTTTGGCCATTTGTAACTGGTCGGGAACGTAATCATTGAATCAGTACTCTTATGTTTTTTTCTATATATAGTTATCATCGGGGGGGTGGGGGGGCGAGCAGCGAACTTCATTTGACCCGAGAAGATTGGAAAACATGGCCATGTGAACTGTGGGTGGCAAAGATGAATCCATTGCTAGCGCAATCCGTTCAATAACACTCGATCGTACACTCAGGCACACCTTCACGCTCACACACAGTCATGCACGCGCTTGCTCACACAAAGACAACGAACAGACTGTTGGACCAAGTGCTGTTCGCGAACACCTACAAAGGCCACCACGGTACACGAGGTGGCGGGTAATCAGCACCACGGCCGGCCGCCTTTGTCTCCTTAGTGGCGATGTTTACACTTTGCACCATTTGAGGCTGAGTCGACCTGAGGGAGGCCCAGGCCGTGAGCGGGAATCGACCTCGGATGGCGAGGTTCGTAGCGCAGCTCGCTCACTGCTGCACTACCGCGCGCGCACACGAATACACAGACATACACACACACACATACACACACACATACACACACATACACACACACATACACACACATACACACACGCGCACACACATACATACACGCGCACACACATACACACACATACACACACGCGCACACACATACACACATACACACACGCGCACACACATACACATACATACACGCACACACATACACACACATACACACACGCGCGCACACATACACACACATACACACGCGCACACACATACACACACGCGCACACACATACAACACACATACACACACGCGCTCACACATACACACACATACGTACACGCGCACACACATACACACACGCGCACACACATACATACACATACGCGCACACACATACACACACATACACACACGCGCACACACATACACATACACACAGGCGCACACACATACACGCACGCGCACACACATACACACACGCGCACACACATACACACACATACACACACGCGCACACACATACACACACATACACACACGCGCACACACACACACGCGCACACATACACAAACACATATATCCACACACATACACACATACACACACACACGAACACATACACACGCGCACACACGCGCACGCTGACGCACAGCCACACACTCGAACACCCACCCACCCTCTCACGCGCATATAAGCGAGTAGCCCCGGTTTAGGGCTCAGCGACAAGCTCTCGGTGGAGTGGGGTGGAGTGGGGAGCGTCGGGGGCAGATGGTGGGGGGGGGGGGGGTAGGAGGTGAGAGACGTGGACGGCCGCGGAGGTTGCGACGGGGGTCGAGGCAACGGGCTCAGCCGGAGCGTTGGAGGAGGAGGCGAGGTCTGACAGTCAGACATGAGGCCGAGCACAGGGCAGAGGGGGGCGCTTCGACTCTAATCAGATCGGACCCCGCAACCGCCCTCACGGCCGAGTATGGAGGGTTGGTGGCGGTGGTGGTGGTTGGTGGTGGTGGGTGGGTGGTTGGGGGTGGTGGTTGGTGGTGGTGGTTGGTGGTGGCGGCGGTGCTGGTTGGTGGTGGTGGCGGGTGGCGGGTGGTGGTGGTGGTGGTGGTGGTTGGTAGCGGTTGGTAGTGGTGGTGGTGGCGGTTGTGCTTGCAAGGATTTTTCGCTCGAGTTCCCAAAGACCGGCGTCGTAAATTGCACCCGTGGCGCTGTTTGTCCGAGCGCGATCGGCAGTGCGCATTTCGTGGAATCGCCGCTGTCGTTCTTTTCGTGTGTGCGTAATGACTCTCTCGTGGAACGTCATGTATCGTTACTTAGTCGTTCGTATCGTTATTTTAATAGTAAAAGCTTTACCTGAGTCTCGAGAGAATTTCCATGATGGGCTCCGCATTGGATTGTCTAGGCACTTGGTCTTTAACGAGCGCGCTAACGTCAACGGGCAGTCATATGCGAACACGTTCTGGCTCCATGTAACCCCCTCCCACCAATCCGCGCCGACCAGCCTGGAGAAGTATGGTCAAACAAACTCGACGATCAACGCGGGCGGCGTGGGAGGGCTTTCATCCGTTCGGCAGTGGATTGACAAACTGGCCGTGAATCGCAATTATTGCAATTACTGTTGTTTTAATGTACGACATGCGTATGCATGCATCGCGACACATTTGAATGTTTCACAACGCAAAGTGGCTGATTGATTACATTTACACAGCACACACACGCATATATACGTGGAAAGAACACAACAAACACAGCACATATAGAAGGCGACAAATGAACGCACGGAAACA